ATTGGGGCTACGACTTTGGAAATTCGGCTATATCGGGAGATGGACGCTGGTAGCGAATTGAGTGTACGAATTGAAGCCATTCTGTGCCTGTCTATCAGCAGAGTATGAAATTCCTGGTGTAAGCAGTCCCCAGAAGCTTCTGGATGAACGCCAGTCCTTTATATCTAGCACTGCCCATCTTGGGATTATGCAATTGATAAGATCCTGCAATGGACTATGGGTGAATATCAGGGCATGTTTCAATCGATCAAGGCTGAGGCTTGACTGCAGAATAGTATGACGTTTGCGCAAGGTCAGATGCGCCTATCTACGCCAAAGATCCATCTTGGAAGTGTGAGACGACCACGCTGTGCAGCGGAAGCCACCTTGGAAGAGTCCAGGAGTACATAACTTTGATGTAAAACTCTCAGTTATTAGGGTCTTAGCAGGCAGATTAATATCGAATTCCAATGGGACATGACATCAGCATTCGTTTTCTTTCAGCCTTATGAGATTCATTCTTCGATGAACGTCTCTGACTCTCTGCTCTGAGCACCTGCGATCACCTGCTGACTCATCTCTAGTAGCCCCCCTGTGTCTCTTGACTCTATTTCGACAACCATCTACTATCTAAGTCTGCAACCAGCATCATCCGAATTCTTATTTGTATGCAGTCACTGTTACCTCTCTGAACATCTTACAGTCATTTGTACAGCTTTTGCCTGTCCATCCCCACATGATCATGAGGATGTTTTCACCATGACATCGACGGCTGTCAGACGGATTTAATTTTCCGACCAATCAACGAACATTCGAACAAGCAGAAGATGGAATCTTGGGAGTTGATGAGCAAATCCTGACTATTGATTGCTTACTTTGACATGCGCAGACTCACTACATTCCAATAAACAGGGACGATTTGACGTTCGCCGCCTGGCATAGTCATCGTTCTCGCCATGGAGGCGACTGCAAGCATCCTGGCAGGGCTACATAAACATCCGCCTTGCAAGATAGTGTACTACAGGGTCTAATTTCCTAGTCATTTTTCTGATTCCTTCCGCCAATCGAATCTTGACGATCCACATATTTCGTGAATTAGGGGATCTCCTAACCGGAAATCATGCAACGCTTCCTGTTTCGTCCACATCTCCTCTCGAACCGTCTCGGTCGATCTACATCTCTCTGGCGGACTACAACCGCAAGGGTCGCAACTGAAGCCCATCATCACCCAAATCCAGGCAATTTTGCCAACCGTCCCAAGGAAGAGCTCTCCGAGATTGGTCGCAAGGGTGGTCGCAAGGGAGGCAAAGCCAAGGGTGTTGGAGGCTTCCATAATATGGACCCTGAGAAACAGGTGAGATTAGGGAGGCTAAGCATCATGTTAAGCACATAGTGACTTGTCCATCGGCAGCACGAAATCGCTTCTCGAGGAGGTCGTGCGGCGAGGAAAGCAGCTGAACATGCGGAGAAACATCATGGCGTCACTGCAGAGCGACGTCGCCCTCATGAGCCTTCTGCAGCGGGCCCAGGTTTCGAGGAGTCATGGACGGCATGAATGTCTCCAAAGATTTTATAATGTAGATTATGATGATGCGAAGTATTCTAGACCTGTAAATTATCGCCAGATAGAATCCAAGATTACCTAGGTAGTGAATATGAAGCCCAATGCTGAGTGTGTTACGTCACGGTGCCGCGAGTCCTAATCAGGCATTCTATAAACAATCTAAATACTGTTGCCTGAGGACTCAGGCATACAGAAGTTGCGCTTCTCTCTGGATCGAAGATCATCCTCTCATCTGTCAATCTGGCGATAATCCACCCATCTCAATTGATTTTCTGGGGCCATCTTCGTGTCTATCGCATCGAGATTCTTATCGCATTATCAATATCATCTATCTATACAACCATCCAACCGAACGATGCTGTTCGCCTGAGCGAACACCCGACTGGATCTCACCATGGTCGACACCCGCTACACTTCGCCAGACCCGACAACCCACGACACGGTCGGCGCGTCTACAATCGCTACGCCTTTGTTCATGCCATCGTCACCTCCTCCTCCGGAGGAGAGTTTGGTTGATTCTCCTCCACGTGCTGATAGCCCTAGTTCCGACCGTGTCGCTGCCGAGATTGACGGTGCGCGTTCGCCAGCGCTATCCAGAGCTTCGTCTCCCGATCATGAAGCGAACGAACTCGATGCGCGACTAGCGGAATATACTGTTGATTTTCGCGCATTTCCCGGCACACAGGTAGCTCGCGATGATGATACACTACCGGATCTGAAATTGCCGCATGAGGAGGATAAGCTTTCCGAAGTCGGTGGCCCGGAGGACTTTACTGCCAACATGGAGAGGTACCTGATGGGCATGGATGATGACTTGGAGGACGAGGATTGGGAGGAGGGTCAATCGACACACTTGAAGGACAATCCGCAGCCAGCGATTACGCAGGGAGACGAGCATGAGGGGGAAGGGGAAGAAAAGGAGGAGGACCAACAGCCACAACAACAGAGCCAGGGCTTACAGCAGCCTGGCCCAGATGATGAAGCGGAAGTTGGCGAGTACAGTGAATTCGGACCCCCTGTTGACATGTCCACTCCATCCCATTTCCTGCGTCGGACAGGCGCTTTCGCTAAGGAAATGACCCAGCTGGAAGATATTGAGGAGGATCCCGATGATGAAGCCGAACCAGTTTTCACCCCGTCTGTCCAGAGACAGACGGTTACACTGCAGAGAGATACGACGGATTCGAACGAGGATTTGCGGCGTCAAATCGCCGAGTTAAGGGAAGTGATTCGAGACCGCGATCAACAGTTAGAGAGAAACCATAGACGGGCACTGGAAGCCGCTTCTGCGGGGGAGCAGATCAAGCATTTGCAGGCAGAACTGCAGAAGAAATCAAGCCAGTTGGACGAACTTCAAGCGAAACGCGACGACGAGGCTATTTTGCGTCAGCAAATACAGGTGCTCCAGAAGCAGAACGAGGAAAAAGACTCGTACATGCGGAGATCTTCATTCAGCCAGTCAGGACTCAGTGCGCTTCAGAAACAGCTCGGCGATATGCAAAAGGAGCTGCAGAGCAGGAATACGCCCCCAGACCTGGACGCAGAGCGACTGGAGACGATTGCGTACCTACGTCAGCAACTGGACCTGGCGCAGGAGCAGTTGAAGAAACGCGATGCTACGCTCGAGGAGACCCTAGCCAAGCTGAGAGATGTCACCGCAGCGAAAGAGCTACAATTGCGAGAGAAGAATACTGAGATCGATGGGCTCAAGGCCCAAATCGATGATAATCTCACGGAGATCGACAGGCTGGAGACGGAACTAGACCAGGCGAACCAAGAATACCGAATTCTTGAAGAGAAGGTTGTATCTCTGGAGACCAAGAATCGCCCGCTAGAAGAGAAGAATAGCACACTTGAAGCCGACCTTAATCGCGCCCAGTCGCAGGTTACAGCTCAAGGAAACGCCCTCAAGGCCATGGCGGCAGAAATGCCAATAGAAGCTGGGGGAAGGAATACGTACACCGAGATTCTGGAACTTATCAAAGATCTCGACCCGCATAACACGACACGCTCCTCCGGAAAGCCTTCTTTGTCAAGGGATGCCGAGTCAAAAGATGATGAAATGGAGAAGTATCGTCAAGATCTGGCCAAGGCCCAGGCCGAATTGGACGAGGCATGTGCGATTCGGAAGGCCCTTGAGCTCGATTTGAAACGGTCTCGAGAACAGGCCGCTGAGGCGCAGACCCTATTCAGGTCGATCGAAGACGAGAACACCCGCCTCACAAAACGCGTAGACGACCTGCAGACCAGCTTGGATAAAGTTCAGGGTGAACTCAGCCAGATGAAGGCGGAACATTCAGAAGCCCTCAAAACCATCGGCCATCTTCAGGCAGAGAAGAAGATACAGCAACCCAGTCCTCCCCCTTCACCTCCCACACCGCGCAACGTCGGCCAGACGGAGAAGCTCGAAGAGTCGTACCGCGCCCAACTCAAGAGCCTCCAAACAGCACACGCCACCGCCATCTCCACTCTACGTTCGTCCCACGCCGACTCAACTAGCAAGCTACGTGATCTCCTGGCTGCTGCCGAGAAGCAAGAATCAAAACTCAAAGCCGAGGTGCAGTCCCTGCTCGCCGCGCGTGCAGCGCAAGAGACTCAAATGCAATCTCTTGACGCGGAGGTCAGAAGACTCCAATCTGTGATCGCTGTGAAGGAAGAGACGGCCGCTGCGCTGGACGAGCGAATCGCCCGGTCTGTCGAGAAGCGCGAGAAAGAGTGGGAGCGCCGCGTGGATCTACTCCTGAAGGAGAGGGAGCGGATGGGCAAAGCCCTCATGTGGGCCTGGGGGGAGAAGGAAGTCGGCGACGTCAAGGAGAACCTCGGCGAGGATGGACGACGGGCCGGGCAGGCCTATCGATATAAGTATGCTCCGAGGAAGGAAAAGGAGGGACAGAAAGCATGAATGTCCTCCCCCATACACTGCTCTCTCGGGTTTTTTGGAGTCATTGGCGTTGCTTTGGAAGGTCTGCGTGGGGTTGTCTCTATGTGTAAGATCATCAAGTTTCTAATCGGTTGATACTGGGCTCTGGGCATAATGTAGGCGCAATGGCTACTCTTCGGGCAACGTTTCCCCTGGGGTGGGTTATGTTTGGAATAGTGCTCAATTCAAGTCCACATCACGATCGTTGCATAATTCCAAGTGATAGAGATAAACACTGTATATGACACGTTACAAGAGTGATCTCTTTAAAAAATAAAATAAAATAAATAAATAAAAACCCAGCATGAAATGAAAATGATCACTTTCAAACATATGACACAGAAGGAGTTCAGTATAAATACTTCAAGGAAAGAGAGAAGACCCATCGGCATGCGGATAAGGATGAAAGAAAAAGCGATGGCGTTCCAAAGCCGATAACAAAACATGACTGAAGCCACTTGACAATATCAAATGCGTTCTCGCTGGTTGGCCTTTATTCCTTCTTCAACGTGTCTGGCCAGCAGACTAGAAATGATACTAGTTAAATCCATACAAACTGGTGCGGTTGGCACCACGGTACGTATTTCCGTTGAGGATGGTTCGCCTCCATCGACCATCAAGTGTCACAGCTGCTCGAGCCTCGTCCACGGATGTGCCTGTCTCCCTGATACTATCCAGGTGTCCGTGTCCGACGGAAGCAATCCCGCCGCAAGTCGAGCTGCGCGGCCTTCGTGTGCTGGGATAAATGATTTCAACGTCGTTTCTGCGCCAGGCGGGGCCCATAGGACGGTATTGCTCGAATGGCTGGTGAGGGCGGTGATGGTGGCTCTGAGTGTGACGAGGAATCTGGTTTGGATCGAACTGGTAGATTGGTCTTTGTCTTTGGCTGTAGCGATGCGTGTGACGACGGGCTACCGTGTTAGGCTCAATGAGGGACACCCTGCGATTGGGAGGTCGGTCCATCGGCCGTCGGGCGATCTGATTTGGTGGGATGAGCATGTAAGCCGGGTGCTGGGGCTGATAGGCAGAGTGAGACGCAGGAAGGGTATTTGAAGTATTGGATCTGCGAACTGTGGCCGGGGGTGCCACAACTTCGGGAGCATCGGCGGAATTTGCTGTCATTGATCGTGAGCGAGAAGGTTCTTTCAACTCAGCTAGAGCCACAGAGGTTTCCATCTCAGAACGCCGATCAGGTGTAGAGGCTAGGGATGGGTTCTGTCTGGGTGAAGAGGTTGGTGACTGCCCAGTTTGTTCCTGCTTTACAGCAACATCGTCGCCCTGTGATTGCTGCTCGATATCTCGACGGGGATCAGCTTCAGCTAGAGCGCGGATCTGAGGATCCGCCGACAGAGGAAGTGATTTGGGTAGGACTTTGAGAAGGGACCTGCAAAGGGATGATATGGATGACTTTTGTCTCGTGTGTCCGAGTGAAGGAGGGATTGGAGGGACCTCGGGAGTCCCGGACAGCTCCGCAAAGGGAGGAACTTGTAACGAAGCCTCGCTTGCAGTTTTCAGCGTTGCGACAGTAGGCGTGCGAGATACTGGGAATCACGTTAGTCGACCTGATTGCCTCTTTTCCGTAGCGCGAGTCTTACCTGGGGATGCAAGAGTTGTCCCTGACAGGATCTCTGCTGCTTCGCATTCTTGGTCTGTATCAAGCCAAAGTTGAGACTTTGGACGTATCGGTCGAGGATGCTGAATAGTCGGAGAAACGGCCTTTTCAATGAGGTCGTCGTTGCTGGACGTTATATAGACTCCCTGGGTGCCGAACGTGACATCAGGCCCACGGCAAAGGTAGTAAATGTCATTCCTTAGGGAGCTTTCTCTGTCAAAGCTTGTTTGAGAACAGATACTGTCGTCGCGGATTGGCTGTCGCTGCGAGTATACCCCCAACAGAGAAACGTCGTAAGGGCGGCGGCAAAGCTCGCGGGAGCAGAAATAGAGACAGACGGTGATACTAAAAGATTCTCGTCAATACTTTTCTCATTACGAATGGGGACTTGTCATCACTTACAAAGACAGAACTGAAACGATAACGGCAGCTCTATGAAGCGCACAGCTGACACCGGTTTTCCAGAATCCGCCGTTCATACTGTCCGGAAGACAGGAAATCTGCTGCGAAATGACCACCAAGCCCGCCACACTCGCTGCCACCCAGACAATCGTTGTCAGCCGCAGAAGATGGGTGCAAACGGCGTGCAAGAATTTCTTTTGCCGCCGGAATCCTTGGACTCTGTTGTACTGCCACGCGAGTAGGCTATGCAAAACCACAAGTGGTACGGTGAAGAGAGACTGCACATTCCACAATCCGAATCAGTTGATAATTATGACAGGTATAATGAGAGAGATCTTACCGCAATGAGAACCAGAATCAAGCTCGGCAGCATCTTGGAATCGACTTGTTGGTTGACGAACAGATATATCACAAGCACCCATTCGATGAGGGATTCGAGCAACAAGACATATAGTGAGACAAATATGACAACCTTGGACCATGACCCTCGTCTTTGAGGCGTTGTAGGCAGATCAGCCATGATGAAATGTGGGACAGCAGCTCGAAAGGCTGTATCACAGGCCCGGTATAAAAGAGCATCCACACAGTGGAACAGACCGGTAATCTGTTATCTACGCGCGTAATAAGTGGAGGGAAGAAAGGCAACAGCGACGGTAGTCAGGAGTATAATGAATCCGTTGAATGCAGAATTCTTATTTTCGGGTGGTCAGGATAGCTTATAGACATATTGCGCAGAGGAGTGTCAAATACCCAGGTAAAGGACGAACTGAAGAGTAATAAAAGGAGACTTGTAACTGATCACTTGCAGGCGCGTCAACGCGGAGACAAAAAGTATCGGAATGCAGAGGGGGAGGCATAGTGCAAACTGCATACAGACGCCGACCGCGTGTCCCCAAAGTCCTGAATAAACACCGAAGCCTGAAGTAATCAAAGGAACTAAGGGCTCCAGAATGGGAGATCATACTTCTGGAATGTTAGCTTGAAAGACAGTCGACAGCGCACCAAAAGTGATTGGCGGTGCCAGGGGTGCGTTGAGGAGCTCAAGATCATTTCAACTGATAGGTCATTGCTTTTTCATCCATCACTTGAAGGAGTTGTCCTTCCGATGAAATTCTGATGAACCTGTGTATGTGCATCAGTATGCAGGAGTTTCCAGCGCCTGGACTCGTGCTTCGAGCCACTGTCGAGGGCAAAGTCCTCAATTTTCAGCCATTGAGACACAATCATCTTCAGGAGCGGTCAGTGCAAAGTACAATAAAAGCAAGACAGTACATTGATGGATGAGACAAAGGGATTTTTGAATGCAGGAGTAACCACAGGGGTACAGGCAGGATCGTTGAAGAGGAAAAGGGGGGAGGTCCAGTTGGTGCATGTGGTCAACGAAGGGTTGCACGTGACCATATCGAAGGAGACACATTAATATTCAGTTCGAAAAGAATTGAAGGGCGTCTATCTCCCGTGAGAATCAATCATGGGCGGTCTCTTGAGGTAGAGTCGTCTCTTTTGCCTTTGTCAAGGGTTAAAGCTATACCGCTATGATGCAATCATTGCTCGCCTCGACTCTTTGCTGCCATCCTATCTTCTCTCACACAAGAACAGAAGATGATCAAATGACTCATGCTCATAGATTGGTCTAGTCTATCGGTCTATATATTGGGACAAATTGCTAGTACATAGCTGATCAGCCCGTCCTGCGAGCCACCCGTTCATAGAAGGGCTGCTCCGGTTTTCGGCACTTTTGACTCTGTCTCCAGATCAGAGGGTAACGCGCTGACTTCTACGTCTTGCTGTACATTTCGAGATTCGGCAGGCTTTCGGCCTCGCAGCCGGTTCAGCAGAGGGTCGACCACGGGCAAATATCCATGGCGTTCCTTGTGACGCATAGCCACAAACCAGACGATCACAGCAATCCAGTAGAGGTTATATGAAAGGACGGAGCCATAGGTCGCCGAATTGGTCCAGCCAAGCACGGCGTTGAAGATACCCCATCCTCCGCCACCATTGATGAGTGGACTGCAGCAATTTACATGCCAGACGCTTTGTCGGATGTCATACGATCCCGGTCCGGCACCTGTCTCGGCAGCATCACCACCAACTAGGTGGTTCCAGGTATTGTTCTCCAGATACCAGACGCCCCGGGAGAAGAGGCCGGCAGCGACCAGGTAGAGGAAGCAAGTCGAGATTATCAGGAAGATTTGGAGCGAGGCTTGGTTTCCTCCTCTGCAGAATATCAGCACGGTGGTCTGTTTGAGAAGAGAGCTGTGTCGGGGTCAACATACCGATAGAGTAGATACCCAATGGCCACTCCCGCGAGAATGCCGGTAAAAACAGGGAGAGGGAAGGCGGTTGCAGGAAAACTGAGACTGACGCCTCCAATGAACACCACCGCTTCGAGACCTTCACGAAGAACAGTGATGAAGGGGAGGAGAAACATGGCGTATTTCTCCGCCCATAGTTTGAGATTGTTTTTGAATGTGCCGCGAGTCAACGGCTTTGCTTCCAGGGCCTGAGCTAGCTTGACGCGCCACTTCTCCTGCAACTTGGTGACTCGAAGTAGTGCAGCGCCCATGATGGTGATAATGACACTGGCTATCAGGGAGAAGATGCCCTCCCACAAGTCCTCCGTACCCGCGAAGTGATCCTTGCCATATCCGTAGAAAGCTCCGATCATGCCAGCTCCGATGCAAATACTGATGAACAATCCAATAGCAACTCCCCACCACACCTAGAAGAACGAAAACCACGCGATCAGACCGAGTTCGGAGAAGAGAAGGGAATGCAAGATTTGAGGATAAAATGGGCCTACCTGTCTGATCAGTCTCTTACGTGTGCGCGCATCTTGCTCTCGTCCCAGGGTTTGCTTGATGAATGAGAGCAACACTGAGACAATGATGCTGGTCTCGACACATTCCCTGAAACAGATGAAAAAGACTGACAGCAGGCGAAGAAAGGTTAGTTTACGCGTCAAAGAAGTAATTCAAGTCAAGTCAGAGAATCGTACTTGGAACAGCAAACACATCTTTCGTCATCTTGTGAGTTAAGAAAGAGACGACAAAAGATTCGGGAACTGAGATTTGACCATGAGAGGGGATTGCGTTGATGATCAATTGAGTGACTGATCGATAAAGGTTGAAAGATTGATTGATATGATAAGTATTACTTAAGGAGTACGCGGTAATTTTTGATTGATAAAAAAATGCACACAGTCACGAGGGAAACCCCTCGATTATCTGATTGATAAATGGCGCAAGACGGAAACAGCGGCAACAAACAGGAATCATAGGACGACTCGAGAGAAGAGAAGAAAGTCAGAATGGCACGATGTCTTCTGGTTGGATAGTTTTACCTACAGCGAGAAAGCTGTGTGGATGGTGGCGCTCAACCGGCCGAACTTTACGAGCAAATCCATGGACTAAACACTTCTGAACTGCTGGATCATCGGCCCATCGCACACAGTTGGGATCGTACGCTCCAATTTTGGCTTTTTCTAGTCTTTTTGTCTTCCGATCAGATTTCTGATACAGAGGAGAAAAGACCTTTACTGTCCACACACACAGGAAGCAATAATGGAATCGCTAAGCACTGAAGACAAGAAATAACACGGCATGACAAGCTCGCGCTAGAGAAGGTGGATCTCGTGGGCAGCAACAGAAGGACAAATTGGCATTTGAATCATTGGACCCTCGATAATCTTTACCGCAACAGACGTGGTGCAGGGAAATGCCAAGTAGATACCAAGAGTGACGAGAAAGGCTGGACTCGGAGGATGATGGATACTGCCATGGGGATGGGTCATGGTTGACTACGACCACGAAGAGGAATACAGGCCAGGGAAAAGAAACATAGATTAATCGTAGACAAGAAATGTCATTATCATCATCGTATCCATCGTTATGAAAATGCCTCACGTTTCAGGTGCTAGGCTCAGGTACCCTGCAGTAGAATATCTCAGCCTCGTAGGAGTAGAAAAGTCATGCATAATGATCAATCATGATGTGACACAATAATATCTGGATATTCCGAGACTTATGATCTTTTCCGAGTCCAAGTTCCGGTATTCCGTAGCAACCCTAAAGTACGTAGTCTCGTACTCCCCCACATCGGCGATCCATGCGTCCCAATGGGCTACAGTATCAATTATCAGACGATGAAGGCGTTTTGAAGTTGCACAAGTCTAAGTGAGGAAGACATTACTGCTATCTAGGTACTAGATAATAAGGACAGTCTGGAGTCTATTATGAATCATGAGGAATAATTTTGGCTACTTGGTGACAATAATTTGACTTTGGCATGATCCCGCGGGAGAACTAGAAAAAAAGCCAAAAGCTCTTATCAATCAGTTGCCATCCCGATCATCCCCGTTTCCTTCTATTGGAAATTTGAATCCCTTCCACCTCGGTTCTCGACATCCTCAGAAATCGTCCATTGTCTTTGGAGGTGCCATGGCAGTTGGCTTCCTTTTGTTGACGGGCTTTGTTGTCCACATCCTGACAGCCTCTGCTGCTACCCTCAACTACGAATGGAATGTCACCTGGGTCACCGCTAATCCCGACGGTCAATTCGAGCGGCCTGTGATCGGGATCAATGGCCAATGGCCTCCTCCAGTGCTCAATTTTACCAAGGGTGACCGCATCATTGCGAAGGTGCATAATGCGCTGGGGAATGAGACAACCAGTGTGCACTGGCATGGGTTCTTTCAGAATGGGACCAACCATATGGACGGTCCTCCATCGGTAACTCAGTGCGATATCGCACCGGGTTCTACATTTGTCTACAATTTCACCGTGAGTATACTAGGCTGTCGAAGCTACTGATTTGTAGTCGGAAATTCAGTCTAACTATCTGCGCAGGTTGACCAATCCGGCACTTATTGGTACCATTCTCACACAAAAGGTCAATACCCTGATGGGCTCCGACAAGCCTTGGTGGTGACCGACCCCAAGAATCCGTATCTTGGGCAGTATGATGAGGAGCGAGTCATTAGCCTGTCTGACTGGTATCACGACCAAATGCCAACGCTCTTGAAGACATTCATTAGCGTCACCAATCCCACCGGCGCGGAGCCTGTGCCCAAAGCGGCTCTGATGAACGACACTCAGAACCTCACTGTGGCAGTCGAGCCGGGCAAGACATACCTCTTTCACCTAGTCAATTTGGGTGCGTTTGCCAGTCAGTATTTTTGGATTGAGGGACACACGATGAGGATTGTTGAGGTGGATGGGGTCTGGACCAATGCGTCGGAGGCCCAGATGATCTACATCGCCAGCGCACAGCGCTACAGTGTGCTGGTAACCATGAAGAACGAGACAAGTCAGAATTACGCCATGGTGGGCAGTATGGATACGGTATTTCGCCTCGAATTCTGCAGGATGATGCCCACAGCTGACGAATCCTACAGGATCTCTTCGATACAATTCCCGAGTCGTTGAACTATAACGTGACGGGATGGCTGTTATATAATGACCAGGCTGACAAGCCAACTCCAGCTGTAATCTCCGCATTCGCGCCTTATGATGACTTCAACCTGGTACCGGTGGATGGCATAGCGCTGTACAAGGAAGCAGATTATACCGTCACTCTGGATGTGACGATGGATAATCTGGGAGACGGGGCCAACTAGTAAGAGCAACAGCCCAGACGGTTTGATAGTACAGGATTAAAGGAATTTCGAGCTGACTTTGAAATAGTGCTTTTTTCAATGGAATCACCTATGTCATGCCCAAAGTCCCGACTCTGTATTCGGCACTGACCACCGGTTCCGCGGCAACAGATCCTGCCGTCTACGGGTACAACACTCACCCAATTGTCCTCAAGAAGGGGGATATCGTCGACATTGTCCTCAACAACGACGATACTGGAAAGCATCCTTTCCACCTGCATGGACATACTTTCCAGGTGATTGCACGCAGCGAAGATGAAGCGGGACACTATGATCCCAATAACCATACTGCATTCCCATCCGTCCCGATGAGGAGGGATACTGTCGTGGTTTACCCGCAAGGCAACTTTGTCCTCCGTTTCCAAGCTGACAATCCGGGTATGTGTCCTGAAAGCCGAATAGGCCGTTTCTTCATTGCAATGAAGCTCATCAGTTGACCGCACTAGGCGTATGGCTCTTCCACTGCCACATCGAATGGCACATGGATTCAGGACTAGCTGCGACCTTTATCGAAGCTCCTCTGGAACTGCAGAAGACGCTCAAAATTCCCGAAAGCCACTACCAGATCTGCGAGGCTAGTGGCACCCTCACCGCGGGAAACGCAGCCGGAAACACCAAAGATTTGTATGATCTGAGCGGGCAGAATGTACCGCCCGCACCGTTGCCGGCAGGTTTCACGGCCAGGGGCATCGTTGCCCTGGTGTTTAGCTGCATTGCAGCTATCCTGGGGTTATTGTCGATAGCTTGGTATGACCGATTGACGGGATTTAGGCGTTTACCCGTATTGACTGACCGGTAACAGGTATGGCATGGCGCCTATTACTGCGCCTCAGACTTCCTCGATTTCGAGTAATGGTCCGGACGAGAATTGAGAGCCGTCTACATTGAAGGACATTGCATTTGATCCGGCAGTAATGCGCCTACAGTCATAGCCCGACGCGAGATACAGAGACATATTGAGACATGGCATACATGTTTGTGGCAGATCTCTAGGAGCTCTCGCACCATGTTTGCATATAAGTGCATCGACAGTATTCCTATACGGTGGATTGCCACAAATTCCTCAAAGAGGAACCTGCACACCCCTCTTGAACACCACTATGTATATATTTGGATACCTTTGAATTGAAGAAAATCCGACATGCCATTTCAATGCCGCAGTTCAATCACAGCACAGCGATACACTCAATCTCAACATCCGTATTAAGCGGCAACGTCTTGACAGCCACACAACTACAAAGCATCAGCTTTCAGATCCGCAGAGCACACTGACCCATGAAGGATGTAACATACGTCCGGCAGGGCTTCACATCGCCCCAGTACTGCATATAGACCGAGTTCATATCGGCAAAGTTATCCATGTCCGACAGAAACACATTGACCTTGACCACCTTGTCGATGGTGGTGCCGGCGGCCTCGAGAACATGCGTGAGGTTCTTGATGCATTGATGCTGCAATCCATGCTGTCAGTCAAGTTTCCTTCCACTTTCACTTAGGGGCAACGGTATTATGGAGTACCGTGTGAGCCTTGACATCCCCCTCGATCAATTTCCCCGTTTCGGGATCCATCGCGACCGCCCCGGAGCAGTAGACGACACCATTGGCGATGATAGCCTGCGAGTAAATCCCAGGGAGAGGTTTGGGGGCTTTTTCGGTGAGGACGGGGGTTTTGGTCGCCATTATCGATGCAGACTGTATTTCTGGAATATAAGCTACAGGAAATGAGAATGTTGTTGTGCGGGGGAACCATTCCCCCCGATTTAAATATATATATATATACACCTCCTTCATAGACTATTACTCTACTTGCAGTAAATCAGGCATACATGCGCATCGACAATGCTGGATGCATGAATGCATCGTATCTGTTATCGATCTGCTTCCCCCCACGCGCGGAAACGAGGCCGTGTGCCAATCGCATGCGGGAAAGTTGCATTGAACCCCTCACGGACACGACAGCTCACTGTAACTTGACCTTGGATTTGACTCTTGACTTGCTCGTACAAGAGGTTGGCCCTTTTGATCATATACTGTGTGTCATAGAGTGGCTACCTTACAGCGTACGATACAGTGTTGATTGTCATGATCAACCATTCCCTTGATATTCTCCTTATCGATCGAGGAGGATCAAAATCGGGATGCACAGTGTATTTTGTACACGGGAGCACCCCCACGGCCCTGGATTCAAGACAAGATCCTACTCCGCAGGGTCGGAATGTAACCGAGCAAGTAAGCAAGTATGAACTGTCAGGAAGAGGGGAAGCTTCCAAACACCAAATAGTAAATGAGCCTTTGGTCGAATGACTCACTATTCACATCATCACTGCTTTGAATCGATATAACCCATAACCTGCTCTAATCCATTCCTGTTTGAAGGCCAGAATCACAATGTCCGTCTCGACCGACCTCCCTCAACCGCCATATCCCTTGCATGAATCCGTCAAGGACAAGCTCGACCCAGAATATGTCGACTTCTACAACAAATACGTGAGCAACCTTCAGCAAGTCCATCTGCAACCGGTGGCTGCCTCGAGAACGAGCGGTGTTCTGATCCCCGGGGGTGGTCCTCTGCTCGATGTCGGAAAGACAGAGGATATCACCATCGAACGGAGAGCGACCGAGGGTCCCAATATTCTGCTCCGCAGCTTCATACCACCAGGGAACAAGCCTGCAGATGGCTGGCCGGCAATGCTGTACTTTCACGGCGGGGGATGGGTGCTAGGAAATATCGATACCGAGAATCCGGTGTGTACGAACCTTTGTGTTCGAGGGAACTGCGTGGTGGTCACAGTGGATTATAGGTTAGTCGTTGCCTGTCGCCCTCGACACCGTGTCAGCATTCAGTCGTTGACGTTCTAGATTGGCTCCTGAAAATCCCTGGCCGGCTGCCGTCCACGATTGCTGGGAAGCCATCCTCTGGCTCATCTCCGACGGTGCCTCGGTGCTTCCCATCGACACATCCAAGATGGCGACAGGAGGCTCGTCAGCTGGTGGCAATCTGGCTGCCATCATCACACATAAGGCCCTCACCCTCTCGCCACCAGTACGCTTCTGCGCTCAGCTGCTGTCGGTTCCTGTCATGGACAACACAGCGACCGTAGACAACAACGAGTCGTATCGTCTGTATGAGCACACCCCCGCTCTCCCCGCAGCCAAGATGATCTGGTATCGCAACCATTACCTCCCCAACATAGCCCATCGGACCAATCCCGAAGCCAGCCCTCTCTTTTATGATGATGACTGGTCGCAACTGCCGCCGGCCTTGATTATGGTGGGAGAACTGGACGTCTTGCGCACCGAGGGGGAGCAGTATGCGGCCAAGCTGAGGAAGGCGGGCGTGGAGGTGGATCTGCAGGTGATGAAGGGGATGCCGCATCCGTTTCTTGCCATGGATGCGGTTCTCCAGGAGGGCAGGCGATCTATCACCTTGATGTGCGATATGTTGAAGAGGGTTTTTTGGGAGTCATGAACCCGCTCGTCAATCTCGACTTTCGTTGATAGTCAAGATATTCATGAGTTGACCGCTAGAAACCAGTGCCGCAATTGGCAAAGATAATTCCATAGGTGATCCTCCTAAGAGGGAAAAGATCCGTAGACGAGCTGCATGCCACCGAGATGACATTGTCAAGAGGCTGCTGGTTCGACATAAAGATTGAACAAATTATGTTTCGCAAGTATTAGTGCAATCATCACTCAACATCTGGGAGTACAGGTAAACCAGGATCATGCCACAGATGCAATGCTGCACCTTGATGAGATCAGGGCATAAGCAGGGCCCATCCAGGATGCATTTAGGAGACATGCTCTCCCCGTAAAGGGGTTTGTATGGTCAGTTGCTAACTTGCTTGTGAGCGTGATATTGGACTATCAGTCCTCTGCTAGGCTCCATGACAGCTTAAGCGAGCTCCTGACCCCTAAATTTAACAACCCCTGCAATGATCATGGATACATTCTTCGGCCAGGTCTTGCGGCTTGCTTGTCTCATGCAGTCGAGCGTCAGTCATACCGCAACTCTGCGCGCTGTTCTGAGAATGGAAATGATCAGAGAGGCTATCAAGACACCGAATTCGACGATGACGGAGTGATGCCTCAACTCGTCTTTAGAAAAAGGATGTATGGAAGAACCATTCTGGAAGTAGGATAGCTTTATAATCGAAATGGAACACGAGCACCGTCCAACGGATATCAACGTGATATAAGGGAGTTATTCGCGGCCAGATATCTCGACAGAGACTCTCGAATCGTCTCTTCACTGTTCGATTCCTTCTCAAGCTCATCCATCTTCTCCGGACAAGCACTGCTAGCACTCGCTTGCTGCACTCATGCCGGGTTCCTGAGTGTCCGCCGTACTTGCGGCGTACTCCGTTGAGTACCCGACCTATATCATTAGCGTGAGTCTTAGCATGAATAGTTAACTAGTTGATAGATAATTTATTAAGCACTCCGTACTTTGTGTGCCTGCGATTCAAGGCGATCTATCCACTGATTCCACTCAAAAGGCCTGAGCTCCAAACCGGGTTCGAATAGTGGAGATATCTCATTTTACTTTGGGTCAGTCAGTGGCGAGAGGCTAAGAGCAGCCTTTGTGTGGATGACCGGATGTAACCCTGAGAATTAGCCTGAGGAGCCGAAAGGTGCACCTGCAGCAGCCTCATAGTAAATTCTATTAGTTTAATGCCTTCCAATGGCTTGTGATTGTCAAATTTAGTGCCTTGAATTTCCTTGGAAGTCGATAATGAAGGTGAATAAGGTATGAAAGTTTTTGTATGGAGATTGGAGACTGAATGATCGATGATCAACAGGAACGACATCGGATGAAATGAACTCACTCGGATGATCCGGGATGTTCTCCGACACCTATCTATCTTGCCTTAGGCTGCTCCGGCCAATGAACAGGCTATGGACAGAGAGATGATCATGCTGGCCATTTATTTGTGTATTAATATTGTCCACATTAGTAAGCACAAGTCAAAATCAAAAATTCTCGGATATTCTTTGCCTCAAATGTTATGACTTTGCCCAAAACAGGAAACTGCTGTTAAGCACGGAGTACTCCGTAGGTACCTTAGGTGTACCATGTGTTCCTAACTTCGAGGAAAAAAAATGCCAAGGCTACCTAGGTACCAAGATCAGGCCAGCGCTAAATCTGCGCCATATGATTGGTGTTCCTGAAGGTCTGGAGCCTGCCAGCGAGGCAACAGCCCCTCGCTAGGCTGGATTCGGAAGGCACCACCCATGGGAATTTGAGGCTATCATATCAGACTTCGGACTAGTCTAAGCTAGTTTCAGTAATACCCGTGGAACCGAGCAACACAGGGTGCCCAAGGCTTGTCGGACCCTTTCATTCGCTCTTCTCCTCCATCCATCGCTTACGGAGTAACAGGCTAACATCCACCTGGCAATCAGCAGTTGAGGTACCACAGCATCGCTTGCTCCCTTCCACGCCCCTCGCCATGTGGTTGGACAAAACGGTTCTTACTCGACTCATTGATGATTGACGATTGAAGACCTAGCTTCCATTTGTGTCGATGAACGACTTTATCATATATCGCCTGGAGTTGATTCGGCATCATGGCTGGATTCTCTCGGCCTCAGCTCAGCAGGACTAGGGGCTCTTTCATCATTTCATCTCCTTGAGAGGACCTGGTGGACTCGGATGATTTCCAGCCGGACTTCTGACCGGTAAAATGGCACAACTACTTGACTAGAGTGGAAAAATCCGTCCTGGTTCCCAACTAATGCATGCGCCGTCACTAACGCGGAACTAGGGACCATACAATTGATCACTCGTGATAGTGGATAAGTGGAGGAATAATGGACCTTTCTCCATGCGGCTCTTTTGTCGGCTGTTTCCACTTTCCAAATCGAATCAGCACTCTCATCGCTGCCACTGACTCAACGGCAATATCGGCCAGGTCTATCTCGCAATTTCCGCAGCCACTGGGCCTGTCCAATCTGGTGACGCTTTCGGGTCCACAGCGCCTTTAGATCCTGGCGGGTTGTCTGTTAGTCGACTTCGGCCTTTCTGGGATTTGCTGGAACCTGAAAGGATCGTGTTCGTTTCTCTGGAAGGCTGTGCCTGTTGGAACTCAATCTGGAAAGGTGCTGAATAGAGTTCATATCCTCACTGCGACGTTCCTGCTATCATCCCTGCAATTATCCATTCGAGACCGCGACGGTGCCTGGCCGGAGGAGTCTGCTTACTACCTTAGGCCAACAATAGGATACCTATGGCTGCAAAGACGAGCAAGCAGGATGGTTGGTCATCAACTAGTCATATATAGGTCTCCCCTGATGCCCACCCTCTCAATGAAGATATCTCTCCTTCCCTTTGGTCTGGCCTTCCCACTTCACGAGTCCTCGTCCGTTGAGAGACCGTTGAACTTGTCAGCAGACATTTGTCTGCGTCCTTTCGTTGACACTCACCGTCCACACTCCTTTCTTGTGCTGTAGTTCGCTGGGATTTGAATCCCGCTGTCATTCTTTTTGCCAACATGGTGTCCAGCAAGTTTTCTGTCGTCGCTACGGCTGTTGCAGCCCTAGCTCCCCTGGCGTCTGCTTTCGATGCCTCCTCAAGATCTAACCTTGCCATTTACTATGTACGTTTTGACCTAGCATTCACCTTTCCTTCCAACTTCTGAGTGCTGATCATTGTCTTGTAGGGCCAAGGCTATGACCAGCAACGTCTGAGCCACTTCTGTCAAGAGACCTCCTTGGACATCATCAATATTGGATTTATCAACTATTTCCCCGATCAGGGCGCTGCAGGATGGCCTGGCTCCAACTTTGGCAACCAGTGCGACGGTACCACCTACGTTATTGGTGGCGTCAAAACCCAGTTGCTGTCCGGCTGTCATCAAATCATCGAGGATATTCCCATCTGCCAGGCGGCTGGCAAGAAGGTCATGCTGTCCCTTGGTGGTGCCTCTCCTGCAAACCAGAAGATCCTCACCGAGGACTCTGCCGTCGCCTTCGCCACTTTCCTGTGGGGAGCCTTTGGCCCGGTCGCTGAGGGCTGGAACGGTCCTCGTCCCTTTGGGGATGTCGTTGTTGATGGCTTTGACTTTGACATCGAGCACAACGGTGGTTTTGGTATGTTTTCTGAACTCCCTGAAGGCTGCATGAATCTCTATTAGTTTTGAACATTGTCACTGATGATTCACCAGGTTATGCCACCATGGTCAACACCTTCCGTGAGTACTTCAAGGAGGTGCCGGACCGTCAGTTCTATCTCTCGGCTGCTCCCCAGTGTGTCATCCCGGATGCGCAGCTCAGTGATGCAATCTTCAACTCCGCCTTCGACTTCATCTGGATTCAATACTACAACACCGCTGCATGCTCGGCCCGCAGCTTCGTGGACAACACTCTCGGAACCTTCAACTTCGATGCCTGGGTGACCACCCTCAAGACCACCGCCAGCGCGAACGCCAAGCTGTATGTTGGTCTGCCGGCCAGCAAGACTGCAGCCAACGCGGGTTACTACCTCACTCCCGAGGAGGTCGAGCCCCTGGTTTCCACCTACATGGACCGGTACCCTGACACGTTTGGCGGTATCATGCTTTGGGAGGCTACCGCTTCTGAGAACAACAAGATCGATGGCATCACCTATGCCGACCACATGAAGGATATCCTTTTGGACTGTGACCCGAGCCCTCCCGTAACCACCACATCCTCCAGCGCTATCCCATCGAGCACTCCGGTGACTTCGGCCACGCCTTGGCCATCAAGCAGTGCTGTGCCTTCCAGCACCCCTAGCATCTCTGTGACCCCATCGCCGTCTAGCAGTGCCGTTCCTTCCAGCACCCCAACTCCTTCTGCAAGCCCTTCGGCCTCAAGTCCCGTCGTACCTTCGAGCACTCCTGTTTCGTCCAGCACCCCGGTAATTCCTGGAACTTCGACCTCTAGCAGCGCTGTCTCCTCAAGCACCCCAGTTGCCTTGAGCACCCCTGTCATTCCTGGAACTTCGATCTCTAGCAGCGCTGTCTCCTCAAGCACCCCAGTTGCCTCGAGCACCCCTGTCATTCCTGGGACTTCGACCTCTAGCAGCGCTGTCTCCTCAAGCACCCCAGTCGCCTCGAGCACTCCTGTTTCGTCCAGCACCCCGGTCATTCCTGGAACTTCGACCTCTAGCAGCGCTGTCTCCTCAAGCACCCCCGTTTCATCAAGCACCCCGGTCATTCCCGGAACTTCGGCCTCTAGCAGCGCTGTCTCAAGCAGCCCCGTTGCCTCGAGCACTCCTGTTTCGTCCAGCACCCCGGTCATTCCCGGAGGCTCAACCTCTTCTAGCCAGCCAGTCGCATCGTCAACCCCTCTGAGTACTTTGACTCTGACAGTTTCGCCTACGCCCGTCGGACCCCCAACTCAGTCCAGCACTGTGATTTCTCCTGGCGTGCCTTCCTCCCCTGCAGTGCCCAGCTCACCCTCCGCCTCCGGCACGCCCTCCACGAGCAAGCCTGTCATCCCTACCACTTCTTCGACCTCGGGACACTCCAGCGCCCCCGTTCCTTCAAGTGTCCCTCCCACCGGTTCTACGATTGTCCCTGGCACCAGCTCGGGTGCTGTCAGCCAGTCAAGCTCCAGCTCCACCGATGTGTCCAGCTCTAGCCAGACTGACGTCGGCACTTCCCCATCGCAAACCGCCGGCCCATCGACAACCACTGCCACCACCACGTCCTCGTCTTCCTCTGACGAGAGCTCTACTACCGTCGGCAACGGCAGCGGCAATGGCAGCGGATCGACTACCACTACTGCTGCGACCGAATCCATCACCGCTATGCCTACCGCCAGCTCTTCGGCTGCCGCTACTGGCACCAGCTCGGAGCCTGTGACCATTACCACTGTTATCGTGACTTCCTACATCGACATCTGCCCTACTGGCTTCACCACTGTTACCACTACGTACACAACGACATACTGCCCGGGCACTAACACTGCGACCGCCACGGCCACTGTTACGAACCCTCCGTCCGGACCTGGTGGAGCCGGATCGCAAACCCCGGCTCCCACTGTTCCCGAAGGCTGGACCACCACCGTGACTGTCTGCACTCAGTGCGCTTCCAAGCCAACCACAGTGACGTTGACTCTCCCTGTGACTGTCACCGAGACCGAAACTGGGTCGACTTCGACCGGCGTTGTGCCCGCACCCCCTGCCGCTACTGGTGAGGGATCGAACCCCACCCAGCCATCGGGTGTTTCCCCCACCGGTGGTGCCGGCGGGTCTTCTGAAGGAGAGGTTCCTTCTCCAGCAGTGACTCAGGTTAGCATGACTACCGACGTAGTGACCCTTACCCGTCCCACTTCGAGCCGCCCCCTGATCCTCGGCACGGGCGCTGTCCGCCCTTCGTCGACGCTGGCTGTGAAGCCATCGGCCAAGCCGTCGGGTCAAACCTCGGGCAGTGGCACACACTTGCCCATTCCTCCTAGCAGCACTCAGGAAGGTGTGTCGCCCTTGTCCACCGGTGCTGCCTCGCGCATGGCTGGGCTGGGTCACGGCTTGGTCCTCACTGTTCTCGCCCTGTCCGCGTTCTTCGTGTTGTAAAGCGTCAAGCCTTATGAGCTGTCATGTGGGCGGCTAATGTATAATGAAGGACTGCTGTTTTAGCTGACGCTGTTTTTATTTCCATCTTCGACTTTTGTGTGTTTACATTTACAATTCGACCCGGTCCAGTCTGCGCTGGACCCTAATTGAAGCAGTCCTATACCACTTTCGACCTCGACGCAAAGCGTTCAATTTTTCTTTGTTACTATTCTTGATCGATGCATGAAGCGTTGGCATAGTGTATGGAGTATGAGACTTGTATTTTCATGTCACAACAAAGTTCTCCAATAGCATAAGAGATTCTTTCTTTTGAACAATCATCCCGAGGGCTTTCGAGCGTTCCAGATCGACAGGGGAATAGTAACTGATCAACCATCGATACACCAGATCGAGCTGCTAGGGCGCTAAGCAGTGGCATGAAATGATGATGCCTAATTGTAGTAGTCTTGTTCAGCCGAGCGGGGTCATCGGAGAGATCTCATAAATTACCAATACCAGGGAGGGACAAGCTTTCAGGGTCAGCAAGGCCAAGACGGGTCGATCCGACAGACGAAACCGTTCTCCGGCGTATTGCGTAAGTTGAATAGCATCGAGAGATTTCAATCAGTCTAAGATTGATGGATTGTTTTCTATTGCATCTGAGAGAAGATTGATTTGATACTACCGAATGGATAGGAGCGAAGCGTCAGGACCAGAGAGCATCGTAAGGTACTGTACGGAGTACGACAACAGATTTCAGTGACTGAGGTGGGTTGCGCCACAAATACGCTAAAATCTCCAGGGGCTGATGTGGCTGGCATGCTGAAGTGGACCAATCACACAGCGCAAAAGCACGACTCAGCCCCAGCAAGGAGGGGCGTGGGTGTTTGGCCTCAGGTTGATTGATCATTGCTCCTTAGGTACTCCGTACTCCGTACTCTCTTCAGACCGCGATGATGGATCCTGGAGGAACTAAGATAGTCCCTTGTTTTAGTACAATACGTACCTCCGGGGCGACCCGTTCGTGTCTTATGGAGTAATCCCGAATTTATAAATATCCCAGGGCCCTCCTTAGCTGGCAACGATGGAGTCCAGTCTCCTTTTTCTCTCAGCTCCTTTCCTCTTCGCAACTATTTGATTCCCCAGGTTGAACCCTCTTGAGTAACATTGGCCTAATTCATTCCATACGTATATCATATCCGTTTCTTTCCTGTTCACATTTCAAGTCATCATGGACGGCTTGCTCGGTAAAATCATCGAAAAAGTCGCCGAGAAAGCCAGTGGTGGCAGCAGCAGCAGCAGCGGCGGTGGCTACTCCTCGTACAACCAGCAGCCCAGCCAGGGTTACAATTCGGGTCCGGCCCCTCCCCAGGACCTCCCTTACCCGTGGGTCGCCCGCTGGGATGATCGCGACCAGCGCTGGTTCTACGTGAACGAGCAGACCGGCGAGAGGTCCTGGGAGCGGCCTTACGGCGGCAGCGGTGGCGGTGCGTCCTACGGAGAGCGATCGTACGGTCAGCCTCAGCCTTCGTATGGGTATGAAGGCGGCTATGCGCAGCCGCAGCAACAGGAACACAAGGATCATAGCATGATGTATGGTGCGGCGGCTGGGGCGGCCGGTTTGGTGGGTGGTGCGCTGCTGATGCACGAGGGGGAGAAGATCCGTGGGTTGCCTTTTTGGATGAGCCGAAAAAAGAAGGGCGCATTGCTGACTCTGTACAGATGACCGCTGGGATGAGGATAAGGACCGGATCGAGCAGAATGTCGAGGATTTCCCTGAGGATGCCGCCAGGTGGACCGGCGAAAAGGTCGGTGAAGTCGAGCAGATCCCCGAGAATATTGAACAGAGCTGGGATCGCACCGAGGACCGCATCGAGAATAAGTGGGACAATGCAGTCGACGACGTCGAGGACTTTCCTGAGAATGCGGCGGAATGGACGGGACGGAAAGTCGGCGAGGTGGAACAATTTGGCGATAATATGGAGAATGCCTATGATGAGGGAGTGGTTGAGGGCCGGGATGATTGGTAGACGCGTTCATCATGGAAGACTGCCCGGTTCTTGATGAAACGTATAGCCTTTTGGAGTTTAGCTACTATATGCCATACCGCAATTTTGACAAGGTGATACGCATCGTTCGCACAACAGTAATGCACTCATGGATAGACCTGCCAATTACTACCAGCGGCTGCATAGATTGACCATTGTTTGTATTCAAGCTGCATATACATACATACATACATGCTTTGAAGCTTCACTTGTGGCACTGTTGGTTTCCCCGCACGTGGCTTCCGGGCCTCGGCTGCGGAGAAGCGGTTGTTTATTCAAGCCTTTGCTATTAAACCATTTCACATCGTGCTGTGGCTTCGATCGATATCTAATATTGAGATCTGTCAGAATTGGGGCATTTATTGACACACCACAGCAGTCAGAGATTGACCTGGGCTGCCATGTCCAAGTCATCCCTTCCACTCGCAGGAGTTCGAGTCGTCGAGCTGGCAGGCCTGGCTCCAGGTTCGTAACACACCTACACTAGAACAATTTGGCTGTCTAATCCCATGTAGGCCCGTTCGCTGGACTTCTACTCGCAGACTATGGCGCGTCAGTGCTGCGCGTTGATCGGCCGAATTCCATCCCAGCAGACCGGTTGACCCGCCGGAAAACGTCCATCACGTTGGACCTGCGGGACCAGGCTTCGCACCGCCTCCTTCTCTCCGTACTGTCAAAGGCGGATGTCCTGATTGATCCCTACCGTCCGGGCGTGCTGGAACGGCTGGGCCTCTCTCCGTCCGAGGTACTCCTAAAACACAACCCGCGCCTGACCGTGGCTCGCATGACGGGCTTCCGTCGCGACGGCAAGTACAAAGACATGGCTGGCCACGACATCAATTACATCGCGGTGTCTGGGGTGCTGTCCATGCTCGGCCGGAGTGGCGAAGCCCCCTATGCCCCGGGCAACATCCTGGGCGATTTCGGCGGCGGAGGCGCCATGTGCTTCCTCGGGATTCTGCTGGCCCTGTTGGCGCGCGCGCACACGGGACGAGGCCAGGTCGTCGAAGCCAACATGGTCGACGGGTCCGCGTACTTGGCGACGATGCCGCGTCTGACTCGGCAGACGCCGCTGTGGAACCTCCCCCGCGGCGAGAATATGCTGGACGGCGGCAGTCCGTTCTACGGCACCTACGAGTGCAGAGACAGGGGCAAGTATTTTGCAGTCGGGGCGCTGGAGCCGCAGTTCTACGCGGCGCTGATCAAGGGGCTGGGGTTCGAACCCGGGGAGCTCCCCGCACGGGACGACCGGGCGAATTGGCCCGCCCTGCGAGCCGCGTTTGAGCGGCGTTTCAGGGAGAAGACGCGGGCCGAGTGGGAGGCCATCTTTGACGGCACGGATGCTTGCGCGACGCCTGTGCTGGAGCAGGCGGAATTGGAACGCAGTGGCTACGAGCAGAGACCTGCGGTGCACCTGGTTGACACGCCCGGTCTCCCGATCCCGGCCGACGACGGCGGATGGACAGGAGGCGGGCTGTTACCCGGTACCGGTGGGCAGGAGACTCTCAAGGCATGGATGGGGTGGGAGAAGGGGCGGGACTTTGATATCCGAGCGGACGGAGTATTGGTGTGGATTGAGGGAGGCAAGTCCAAACTATAGGTACTGTCTCAGAATGATCTTGTCATGACCCATTCTTGACTTCTTGACTTGGCCCGAAGCGATGAGATGATTGGCGGATGCGATCACGATGATACCTACCCATGACTCTCAATGGAGACGCTTTGACCATTCAGCATGTGCCGGAGTCTTGGAAATCGCAAGATGTGAGACAAGTTTAGGGCTGAGGAACGAGATCGGGAGATTCAATTGGATTTCCCTTGTTTTATTGTCAACCCGGTCAGCTCCGTTCCTTTCAATTCGTACAGTTGTTTCCATAGCCAGCTGAAAAGAAAGAATCGAAGCGGAGATTGCTGCATCCATAATAGGTGGAAATGGAAATGTTACAGCGGCTGAATGTAACATGCGGCAGTTCCGGTGGGATGATTCGATGGACGGAGCTTCATCAGAGTGTAGACAGACGTCACATCATTTGATACTTTCACCACTCTTGGGTTGAGGTGACATTTGCGATGGAGACCCCAGACAAATGCTTGATGATGTGCTACCATTGCTGTAGTGATAGTCAGGGCAAGGTAAGGTACATACATAGCTATCTCACACACACACACACTCTCTCTCTCTCTCTCTCTCTGTAGCAACATCTTGAACCTCAGTAGTATCTGTATAAGATCTTTCTTCCGTGCTTCCGGTCATTCCAACAGGTAGTGGAGTATTCTACGTCATGATATTCTCTAGTCCAGCCTGAATTGATGGACACTGTTAGTTGTTACTCAGGTACCACTTGGGGGTAGAATCACCAAGTTCTCTGTACCTTCGGAACCTTGGGACTTTTACTGGACTGTGGTACCGTACGACTGGGAAGTGGGCATGGTATTTACCAGTATTGTATCTCCGTGTGCCTGAAACTGTGGCGCAGCACTGTGTACGGAGTAATAGCGCATAAAAGTAACTATCATATAACCGCTGAAAGTTAGACTAGGAGTGACTACTTCATGATGCGTGCCCTATCCACGCATTATGACTGGACTAGAGCAAGGCCACGAGGTGACTGCATCTTGACTCTTGACTTGACTCTTGACACTCGACAGTGCCAAGTTAATGGCTCAACGGAAAAGGTAAGCATTGGGCAGCTCTGCAAGCGAATGGATAAGGGCTCAGACCTTTGTTTGTTGTTTTGTTGATATCACGCCATCATATTCTTCTACCTTTATCCTTGGTGGTTGTGCTTCCCGGTAGAATACAAAGGGATCTCCTCGAGTCATGACTTCATCATGATGCCTCTTTTCCTGTGCACTGGTAATCAGTCCAAATCTCAATGTTTTTAATCAATAATAAGAGGTACGTATTATTATATTATTTAGATCGGCTTCAGCAATAATAATTCCCAGTAGGTACGTAATCATTGGCAGTTATTCTGTGGTTGAAACATGTGGCTGTGCTGATCCCACCAATTATTACCAGACCTTCCTCTCCATCAGTCCATCTATCTTGAGCTAAGGCATCCATGGCTGTGCCCGTCTTGTTTGGTAACAGTAAGGTACCAGTACCAGTACCAGTACCAAACGGTAAGGTACCAACCCAACCAGACCAGTTTTGTCTTGTTCTTTTTCTGTGCTGTTCGCCTTCTTTCGCTCATCGGCCGACCGATGATTATGATTACCTATTATCTACTCTACTCTACTCTACTCCATACAATGTTTAAACTGCCATCTCCTTCCTCCTCTTCTTCTTCTCCTTCTTCTGTACTTCTAACTGTCACAAGCTGATCGCCCTCTAACTGCCAGCGGGTGTCGATCCAGACTGACTTGCTGAATCTTAGCCCGGTTGCCCAAGAGCGCCAAGGCCTCCCCTCGTGCCTGTTCCCAAAGCGGCCTGATCGATCTTCTCCTGTCGCTACTCCTCACGGCTTCAAGTGCTGCTCCCTGTAACCTCGACTGAGAACAGAGAGTCGGACGCTTCGGGCTTTAGAATCGTTGCGTTTGCTTTCTCTTTGAAACTTATTACCTTGCACCATTTATTTGTTGAGACAATTCTTTTTTCCCACCCCCCTCTTTCTTTGCTGCAGCCGCCGGATACCGCTGCATGTACCACACAACGGAGTCGCCGGCCCATCCATCATCGCGCAACAAGACAAATTCGGCTTCCCTTACTTCGCCTCGCCTCTTCCTCCCATTCGCGAAAAAGGCGACTCCTTGCAATCGCTTTCTACCCGCCAGGACATCTCGTGCCTGCGCTCTCGTCGCCTCTACTTAACCAGTCACCTTGAAACTTCTTTTCTTCCGTAACTCTCAACGGCTTTCGGACCTGCATGGCTGGCGTGCAAGCTCCACCCACCATGACCGACTACCGACTCCCAATTCACCAGGCACCTCCTCGGAAGCCCGTCCCCGGCATGCATCGTGGTTTTCCCTTTGAAGCCTACGAGCCTCACCAGCAACAACAACAACAACAACATCAACAGCAGCACCACCACCATCACCACCAACAACCACAACTTTCCCCCCATACCTCCGTCTCCTCGGCTCACAGCCGCAATCGAACTTCTTCGTCCCATGTCTTGCCATATCAGCAACAGTATGCCGGTGCCCCTTCGCCACATTACACAATGACCAGCCATGTTAGTCACCCTTCGAGGCGTCTGTCTAGTGCCACCACCTCCACCAGCTCGACCGGAAACAACTTTAGTTCCGATATCCGCCGGAGCACATCATCCCGTTCGACCAACGCTCAACTCGGATACGTGGCTCTCATGCGCAGGCAGAAGGCAACTGTCTGGTGTGATCGCGCTCAGCCTGAAGATCCTCGACTTCGCGCCCAGAAGCTGGCAGATAAGAAGAGGGCCTACCTGGAAGTCCATGGCGCTGGCGCCGGACGCACCGGTACCCTGGGAAGCGGCAAGAACAAGCATGGAAGCAAGGGCGTCAAGGAATTTTCGGCGTCAACTCTCGTTGGAGCAACTGTTCCGGTCCGACTCAGTGCAAACGAGGTGGGCGACGCAGATGAGGACGGACACAGCGAGAATGGATTTCCTCATCGCCGCACGGGCAGCGGCCGCAGTTCTCTCGGGAGCAATCACCGCTACCCTAGTGGCTACCAGCGGACTCCACAGGGCACCATGGGGAGTAATAATACTCCCCCCAACGAGAGGGCTGATCTTCCGGACGTTACGGAAAACCCTCCGGCAGAGCGTCATGAGGAGGAAAAAGCCTCGTCCACCAAAGACGATTCTGCCACCAGTCATAGCAAGACCAGTGAGCAAGAGGATAACTTCGGCTCAGTAGGTGACATGGCTGCGCCCAGTGCCGCCACCGCCGCTGCTGAGAAGGCCCGGAAGGCGGACGAATTGCGGCGCAGAGGCAGCGTGGACGAACGAACGACCACGATGACGAATGTGCGACTCTTCGTCGCGAATCCCGATCTCAGTGACTGAGTGTTTGGCCATGCGGCCATTCAGTCAGGACTTTTTCTCTCGCTTGAGCAGCAATCAGAGACAGCCCGGCTGGGGTTCTGATAGCAGGACTCATTACCCAATTTTATGCTGAGCGTAAAAGAAAGCCGGGGCCGCTGATTTCTATCGCTCTTGTCACCACCTACCATCCATTCCCCCTACCTACCTTTCTTCCTTTCTGCGGACGTCTGTCCATCCGTTTACTGCTGCATACTGTTTCGTGATGGGTCGCTTGGAGGCTTCAGCTGACCCTTTCTCATTCTACGCGGGGTTATTCTACCCTCACTGCATTCTTCGACATCTCTGCCTAGGGCGCATGCGTCTGCATCTGCTCGCTGTGTGTATTTGCATCTTTTACACTTTTTGGGCGCTCTTATACCAATCTCTTGCGCAGTATCGCTAATTCTAATAATATGACTTGTACATACTAAACAGTGATTCTGAATTGACGTAGACACACTGGCACTGCGAGCCGTGTTCGTCAATTGTACGGAGTACGGAGAACGGGCCATCCATCTGTTTGTTAAACGCTATAAGAGCGTGGTCCCGAAGACTCTGATTCGAAAGAACTCGTTTCTAGAAATCCTCGTTTTCATATTGAACAGACATGTCTTTCCACTATCTGACACAACAATCAGACAAATGCCAATGGTGCATCAGAATCAAAAAGTCTCCACAATTGATCCCTGTCCATGACTGCGTAATGAGACCTATCACAAAACGCATCCCTGCCTCAGGCAACCCAAACATCAAAGCTTCTCAGGGGTTTGACGCGAGAAGAAAAACGAGGTGCTTTCTTGTCCCCAATTCTGCTACCACTGTCGTCGTTGCTACCTTTGACTCCGTTCGACCTCTTAAGTCTGTCCCGCACAATGGCCGGTATCTCAATAGCCTCAATTCTCAACCCCCCGGAAGTCCCCCAAGTACCGCCGTCCACGACTCGTCCCCCTTGCGTCCGCTCCTTCAAAGCTCAGACACGGGAACGGAGAGCAGGATTGAAACGCTTGAAGCGCTTAAAATGCCTCCCTTGCACACAGCAGAAAATCGCATGCAACAGCGAGATACCGTGTTTCGGGTGCGAAAAGGCCGGGACGCAGACGCAATGCAGGCTGCCGTCGGAGACGCTGCAGAAGAAATTCGAGCAGTTCATGAGGTGGAATAAGGCGGATCTGGCCGTGCAGATACTCTTACTGGAGGAGCAGGTGGGCGCGGTCCATATTTCCTGGAGTGCTCTGTACTTGGGGTTGGGGCCCTCTTTTCCCGGTCTGCGGAGTGCTAACGTTGGAGTGGTGCTGCAGAATGTTGAACAGCTGGGTTTTATTGATTCACTTCTTGCCGAGAGTGCTGGCACTGCCGAGAGAGATGCTGCTCTGTGTTCTTCTGAGCCTCCACTCACGGATACAAAGACTGTTGTGCCAGGGGGAGCGGCTACCGAGCTACCGGCGCATAAGAAAGCCTCTTCTTCCGGTTCTTGTGCCCATTAATCGAATTCACCTTCCAATGAGTTGATGTGAAGATGATGTAAGGAGAATGTGGCGCCGTCGGCAATCTTCATGTCCAGTTCGCTGGAGCAATGAGGGTGCCTGCCCAGAAGCACACGGTGACCTGATACTATGCCGGATACCATGTGAAGCGTGTGATCTCCAAGAGTCAGCATTAGTTTTGGGAATGTTGTTCCATGCTGTTGTCTCACCGAGACTAGTGGGGTTGGACGCATACTGAACCCAGGGTTATAGCTCGGAAACGGCGATGTACAGGGGAAGGCTTGTCTGGCTCAACAGGTGTACGAATAGAAATACTGGGTCGAACATGAGCTGGCTATCTCGCTCAAGTCCTCGGCTATTGGGTCTCCTGCCTATACTGGGATCTCTCGATTTACCAGCTTCGAGGCATCCGTGATCCAGGGTGATGGACATTGATATATCAACATCTCCCTATCTGTATCTGGAATCTCCTGTTTCTCAGAATTCATTGTTTTTCTTTCATTTTCGATATTGGCATTGAACTTTATGGACATGACCAGGCAGTAGCTGAATAAGCTTTAGGGTATGAGCCAAGTGCGAAAAGAGATTCAGCATATGGCGCCCTCCAGGTTGTCAAGTCAACACATCCTAACTCCTCCTAGATTACAGCACGGCGTGACAGAGCTTGAGTCCCACATGACCCAAACCCGCGGGAGCTCTCTCCAAGCCTCTCGCGGACTACATCGTTCAGACAGAGAGGCCATAACTTCCCGCCAATGGAAAGACAAAATCGTCACGCATACGAACCACAAAGTATTTAACCTGTCCTGGGGAACTGGAAAGGGTCTGAAACAGTGATGCGGCACGATTGGGGTGCGTGAAGTGGTTGGTCTCCTGGCCATGTTGCACGAAGCCTTCCTTTGTGGCCGTTCGATAACCACACGGGCAGGAATATCCTTGGATTACCGGGAGAGCAAGGATTTGCTTTTCCCCATCGCGCGGTTGAACAATCTCATTCCAGGTATCTGCGAGGATCTCTGCCGGGTACATGCTGAGCGCCTTGAGCGTCTCTTCCTCCGTGGCTCCATGCTGGTGGATTAGATGGTATTTGAGTCCGTCTCTTGCGAAACAGTTTCCGTGCTCGGTGCAACAAAGCACACGGCAATGTTTCAATTCGCGCAGAAATGGAGCCGGCTGAGTGGTCCAATCCGTCCAGAGTATGGGGCGCTTCAATTCTTCCGGGGTCAGGTCCTGGCGTCGCTCTCGCATCCAATCGTACCGCCAGCGCATGACAAGTGTTGTGCCCTGGCTCTCGACCTCGCGTCGAATCAGGATGCCCTTCTGCGCCCAAACGCGTTCACAGACGGCATTAACTGCGCTTGCAGAGTCGCGAGGCTGGTTGTCCTGCTGCTCCGCATATTGGCTGTGATAGTACTGGGCCCTGCGAACTTTGAGCTGCCGACGCGCCTCCAGAGGCAAAACCCATTCCTCCACGTATTCTGCAATGTTGTGAAAGAGGAAGACGGTCGAGAAGTCACTTGTGAGGCCTGGGTGCCAGAGACGGATCTCACGGAAGTGGCCTCTGCCAAAGGCTCTGAGCAGAATGCGGTGGAGAGTCCAAGACCAGTCGTCGTACTCGGCTGTGGTGTCACCGATTGCGTTCATGTCGCGCGGCATGGGCAGCGTAATCACTTGGAGCTCTTCCCACCTCAGGAGGAAACCTGCGAGGCCAACGGCATCGTCTTCTCTGTCACCTTGTGACTGAGTTTCCATCAGGGACCGACTGAGGATGATCGAACGCCGATTCTGACGTTCGGGGATAGGTAGGGATAGGAGGGCACACAGCAGGCTCCTGCAGTCGCCATACTCCTCCCCGGTAAGAAGAGGCTTATTGGCAAAGGAAGAGCGTGGTGCGGTCATGGTTGCGATGCTTTAGTTCATGGTCTAAGGAAGAGAGTGTGAGAAACTGGTGGAGGAAAGGTGCGGGCAAGGGAGGAGAGAAAGAGAGGATACAACACATTCACTTGGGAGAATCAAGCACTGTGTTTGTTTACTCTATAGACTGAAAGCAAAGCGATGCCTTACCGCCTGAGGTTAAGCAGGTGCTTGGTACAGGCGCTAGCGTCTCTATATCACTGCACAACAGCTCACACAGTCCTCTATCAATCAGCCTTTGAGAGACATTATAGCAACTTTATGCTTCAGATGAACATCAATCACTTCAACAAAGAGCTAGAACCGGATTCGAAGTAAGAACCTCCAAATCATCTGAGAGGAAGGTCTGTATAGCTTCATGGTCTCCCCGGATTGGTAATCTTCCGAACCATCATTCGGCACATGTCCCAGCACTTCATCCCACGAATCGGTAAACCGCACCCGTTTTGAAGTCACGCGCTGCCATGATCCAGGACTCCGAAGACAACAGTGGTTGGTCGCAACTACTTTGCTTGTTTCCAGTACATTAATGAAGCATTCAAGGAATGAGTGGCTCGTGATGAGGAGGATACTTGCAATTCAAACCCTGTCTCATAACTTATCAGGCACCTTGTTGACATGGCGACGGATTACAGATTCTGCGCAATCATGGCGAGCTCTAAACTACTCTTCCTCCGACTACAGATATCGACAAGCTCGAGCTTCGGACGCAGGGAGACTGTCACATAGGCTAGGGATTGTTAGCCAGATAGATCACCAATGGACACCAGCACTTCCTCAAGTGAAGCAGGCCCTACACAGACCACGAGATGAAATCGGGTGACAGCCTCTTTGTGTTGACGGATTTGGATATTCGCAAAAAGTAATCGGGATGTCCAGCATCGATGATGGCAGGTTCGCTCTGGAACCCATCCTTGTGCCAGTTGAAACAGACAATGGAAAAACTACGTAAAAATCATTCGAAAGCATACTCAAATGCCCCATACTCGGCGCGTCACCGGCTGCTCCTCCGGATTTGGTCGGGAATTGCCATTGCTGCAACCATGAACCAGGATATCGTTGTTGCGACTTCTCGTGATCCGTCCAAGCACGCAGATCTGAAAGGCTTCGAATAACACCCCGGGAACTGGATGCACGGGCAATTGATGCCGAGATTGGAAGTTTGTTTGAGCAGATCTTGCCAAACATTCGGTCAATTACTACTCCGGGTTTGTACTTTGCTTTGAAGGCCGCTATTGCCGTCTACAGCGAGGCTCTACACCGCAAGGTGGCTCGGCTCGGCATTCAGGTCGTGTTTATCAAGCCGGATACTTCCGCACCTCGTTCCTGAGTGGCGGCCACAGGGCTATTGCCCGGGATCGCATCCCTGACTTGGACCAGTCATCGGGGGACGAGAAGAGCACTTGATGCTTGCGATCTTCAGCAGTCTCGCGATCCTGTCAAGGGAGCAAGAGAGATCATCGAGGCATTGACAGAAAGGGGAAGATGTCAAGGACGGAAACTTGCCCAGGATAGAGTTGGGATGGGATATGTTTCATGCCGTCGACAAAGCCTGGAGAAAGATCAAGAAATGTTGAACACATGGGGGGAAGATTGTTGGGGCAACGGATTGTGATAATCAGGAGGAAGCCTAACATATTGATGATTGATAGAGTGTGAGAAACTGTCCCCATAAAACTACATATGGCAGACTTCCAGCATGCTCGATGTATCTTCGGAGGCGCTCATTATGGTCAAGTCCATGGTGATGGTACTCCCGTACATAGCTGAGGTTCGAAGTTTGTAAAGGGACCTCAAATGAGTAGACCGCTGCCTTTGCTGCAATGATTATAAGCTAAGGGAGAGTATCACTGCAAGTCAATCTAGGGCTCTTTTCGCCAACTGTCAAAGTAAGCTCCATTCACCTCACTTGCAACGCAAGCTTTGAAGCAGATCAACCACGGTCACTCAGCTTGATGTTTCCTGGGTTCAATCCCTGAAATCCATTCAAGGATGGTAAAGCTGGGTTTTAAGACACCTGTGCAGCCTTATACCTGCACTTCCATTCCCTAAAGCTGCTAGAGGTGTGATTCATTCATTGCATATTCACCATCTCAAGCCTGGAAGGGCACATGAAATCACTTTAAACCAGCAAGAAAAAGGCACTGAAATGGAAAGGAGGTTAAAGCAGCGGGAAAGCACGTGCTTCCCCCAGAGACGCGAGATGGCGCGAACTTCAATTAACGCGTGTCAGACAACACAGCAACGGAAGGGTCACCGACCTGACCTCTCATGGCTTAACCTTCCTTTGAGAAGTCTTTGGGCAAAGGAATTGACATCTGGATTCTGCTGATTTGACTAGCCTTGAGATCAGCACAGAATGGAGGTATCCGTTGACAGCTCGTCGGGTCTCTCTCCCCTTCCACCCCAATCATATCCCACTTCTCCGTCAGGGTCGAGAAAGCGCTCAATCCAGGAGATTGACGCACCAACATCGCCAGAGAGCAGGAAGATCTCGAAAATATGTGATCAGGAAAATCAAGACCCATCCCTATCTCACGTTGCAGCGTCCTGCACGCCGACGGAGCAACATCCCCAATCACCATCAGCTCCCACAGCCAGCATTGAAATTTCGAATCAACAGAATGTTGCGAATCCGACAGCGCCTGGCGGATCGGTGTTTGTAACGGTCCCTCAGCCAAGCCCTACAGCGGAGACCACCTCAAAGAATACACAACCATCTACCCCTACGAAGAACACCAACACCACTACGCCGGCTGCCAAAAAGCGAAAGCTGTCACCTGCAAGCAAAGAAGCTAGACAACAGGAGAAGGAAGCAAAAGAACGGCAGAAGTTAGAAGAGAAAGCCAAGAAAGACGAGGATAAGCGCATAAAGGAAGAAGAGAGAAAAAAGCGCGAAGCTGAACGTGAGGAGGAACGTAAGCGAAAAGAAGAGAAGAAGCGGCTGAAGGAAGAGGAGAAGGCAGCTAAAGAGGAGGATAAACGCAAGAAAGAGGAGGAGAAGTTGAAGAGGGAACGGGTAAGCATTCTGCCATCCAAAGATGGCACCTGTCAACTCAATGGCCTCGTCTGGTTGCTAACCTCGGGTTAGGCGCAAACGAAACTGAATGCCTTCTTTGCCAAACCCAAACCTCCAACGCAGCCACCTGAGGCTAGTTCTTCAGACTCACCCAAGATACCGATCGCCGATGGTGCCTCAAACTTAACGTCTCAGAACCGTGCTCCGACTCTGTCTGACTATCAACGAGAATTTCCGGACTTCTTCCTACAGTCTCACACAAGAGTCGCCCCGCCGCACCGATTCGAACGTGACTCGAAGGCTCTTTCTCACATGCAAGAAAGGGTCGATGCTTGCTTACAGTCCTATCGGAATGGGTCCGCGCAGCCTTTGTCATTCCGCCCATCTGAACTATTTCGAATCATGCCATACAACCGGCGGCGTGGAAGACAGGCTGCCTCCGTCAAAGAGATTCTGCTCAAAATGCAGAGTCTCAACGAGCAGTCCGACCCTGACTCTGCACGGCGGTCGCAAGAATTGCTCAGACGCATCAGAATGAAATCGCTAAAGTTTGGTGAAGACGTTCGACCTCCCTACCAGGGCACTTTTACCAAGACGCTTCCGGAATCCGCTGCTCATAAACTCATGCGCAATCCCTTCCACCGTGGTCTACCCGACATCAACTACGACTATGATTCCGAGGCCGAGTGGGAGGAGCCGGAAGAGGGCGAAGATCTTGACTCTGAGGAGGAGGAGGAAGGAAGTGAAGAAGGTGACGATGACATGGACGGGTTCCTTGACGACGATGAGGATAACCTGGAGGGCAAAAGACGCTTGATAGTAGGAGATTTGGAGCCTCTGTGTACCGGACTACGCTGGCAGGGTGAAGGCGGAGACCACGACCTGGAAATGTACAGGATCCAGACGATCACGGACTCGGTTACCTTCCCTATTGACCCGTTCTCCACGGCATATTGGCAGAAGCCCAAACCAGCGGAGCAACTGCCAACAGGTGGCCCGGGACGCTCCACTCTCCATTCGTTCATGGTCGTTCCTCCGAGCACTCAATCCCAAACGGCTGCGCCTACTACCGAGGGAGTGACTCCGACACTCTTGACCGCAGGTGGCAAGGCGAAGCGCACATTGACACCAGAGCAACTGGCTGAATTCAAAGAGGTGGTGAATGGTAGCGACCTGACGAAGACAGGTCTGATCGAGGTTCTGAAGAAACGGTATAAGCTCTTCTTTTGGCCCTCGGACGAGTTCAGTTCAGCATTGTGCTAATGACGCTTCACTAGATTTCCAAAAGTATCGAAAGATGTCCTTAAGGAGACCCTTACTCACATGGCGACGCGTGTTGGACAGAGAGAGGCTGAGAAAAAGTGGGTGTGCAACTAGGAGGGCGAAGGAAGGACAACATCCGTACCGACGTGGAGCCGCAACATAGACACTGCCTCGGTTTGCAAAGATGGGAGTTATGGCGTACGTCGTTATTCTAGAGTCGCTTTGGGGGATTCCAAGACCTCTGCGGGTTGAGCGTCTGTGATTTCACGGTCATTTGTGGGAAAACAGCATGAATCGAGTCAACGATTGCATTTACGATACCTGTGTGGGCTGTGGCACTTGAACTTGCTTCTCGTCTTTACCGCAGAAGCGAAAAACTCGCAGAGATTTGATGAAACTATGTTACTTTCCAGTATGATGTCAATGTAAGATGTGGATAGGATTTCTGAAGGCTAAATTGCCACAGAATACGTGTCTTGACTAGTATCTATCTGTTCTCCAGCTCATCTTGAACAAGAGCCAGGACAGCTGAAATGATCCTGCTCTTCACGGGCACATAGATCATGGTAACCTGAAGAGGTTAGACTGATCATTGATTGGGACACGTGCCATGTGGGGGGAAAACAGCATTTTGTTTTGTCTTATTAGTACCTTAGTACTACCTAGGTAGTAGGGTACGTATCTACCAACTCCTATCCACCCGGAAAATATTTCAAACCTCGGAATCCTTGGAGTCTACTAGTATCAGTATACAGCTGCAAGAGAATACCTTACCCTATGCAGCCGTAATAATCATGAGGATGAGTCTTTTTTTCATGGAAGTGTTCAATGACCAGAGGAGATGGGGTCAAAAGACAGTTGGTGGGAGGGATGGGGAGGGGGACTGACCAATCAAAACAGAAATCAGGGACAACTCGCCATGCATGCAGTGCCAACGCATCAACTACTACCTACTACTCCGTAGTACCTATCTATCTACTGGGTAGGTACCTTACTACTTCAAGCATCAGCATCACCATCAATCCGCGACATGATGACACGATACCTTGGTCAAGATACTTCAAAATGTACCTGAGGTACCTGCTCCAGAGTCAGTACGACTCTCATTCGACCCCGATGCGCCTTTCGTGGCCATCTCCAGCCATCCATCGAGTCGAGACAGACGATCTGCGACCGGACCAGAATCATCTTGCCTCTAGACGATCTGCAAGGCGACCGAGTGGGAAACATCTCTGACTTTCGCGGAGTTTATGGAAGGACACCATTCCTCTAAATGAGTAGACTAGTAGTATCTAACTCGTAAATGTTGTTGGCGGAGGAGCAAACACAAGTAGCAAATAATGAGAGTCTTGATTCAAACTGGAGCAATCTGGCTCGAGTCACTGTACGGAGTACTCCAGAATAGAATCATCATTAGAACTACTACTATTATTATTCTTGCAGAGTACTACTAGTAACTCGGCTCAAGAATGCTGGTCCTACACTAATAATCATACTCACAGTCACAGCGACCATCGAGAAAGGGACACACATATCTATTGGCCCCTCTTCCAGCTGGGATCATTCCCTCCTAGTAGCAGTCGCAGTAGTAGGAGCATTGATTTGTTGGCAATCACCAGTTCATCTAGACTATCTCTCTATCCATCCATTCATCCTCCATTTCTTCTCTCGTCTCTGCCCCTCTGCAGTCTGCATGTCATCTTTCTTTCATCCTTCGACATATCTACTCCGTAAAGCCTTCATCCTAAAAAAGATAATCCTATCTACGGAGTATCTATATCCATATCCATTATCCTATCCTCTATTTCTTCTAATCCTCTCCCACTTCTTCTCCTGCAAACCAGCCTGTCAGACCTTACCTTGCATACTGCGGTAGGAGAAAACTATTTGATTGATTCTATAATCCTTTCTAATAATCATTTGCCTACTTCCCTTACTACATATCAACACCATCATTGATTGACTTCCTCTCCCTCTTTTCGGATTCCTGCATCACACTAGCAGAGCTCTCCTCTGACCATCCCTCTTCGTATAACTGCGACAAAATCCCCGAGGTCCCTCCCCGTCAACTGCTTCGTCTAGTCCGTCCCTTTCACAGCTCTCATCTCACTCTGGAGCGGTCGGCAGTTGCGGACGATCCTCAAAATCGTGATGAGGAACAGTCTCCGATCTCATCAAGTTCAGTAGCAGGATCATGTGCTAAGGAGCAGGTTTCTGGCGCCAGAGCCATTTCGCGATCTCGATTGTCCTCTTGGCTGGGTGGCCGGGGCACTGTCCATGGCAACATCATGTTCGATGCCCAACGCGATGGTCTACCGTCAACTCTGGCCTCTTATGTGACCTGTGAGTACACCCTGCCTATCCTTTCGCCTCCTTTTTCCCAAACCTCAGTCGGACGGGAGAGCGATTCTTTCCTCTTGTGATAAGCGAAAGTGTCCCCCCCCCCCTTGTTCAGTCTCTCCCGCCAATTATTATTTTAAGGTGCTGATTTTGATTTCCAACCCGTATTTAACTAATATCCCTATCTCAGCCCTGTTACCCTTATCGTCTCAGGCTACTTCAACATGTAATTCTGCGAGTCGCACGCAAGATTCCTCCTCGGTCTCTCAGCCATCTGCTGTTCCAACTCCCAGCATGTCGCCCATGCTGTTGATCCCCGACGACGGGAGCGTTGATCGCTCCTCCGTGTCACAGGTTGATCTGACCATAGGTGAGTCTGAGGACTCGGGCCGTTCCAGTTCGCAATTCATAACAACTCCCCTGTACTCGGATGATGGCCACCCAATGGATCAACCGCCAATACCAACCACAATACCATCTGTATCAACGGAGCCCCCCAGAGTCTCGTTTGAGGATTTTGCGATCCGCTATCGCCAAAACCAGCACAAGCAAGCCCGTCGCAAAACGCTGGAAAACCGTCTTCATGCCACCAAGATATCCATTGGTATCTCCGCGCGCTTGGTCCGCGTTGGAGGCGTTGTGCAGCGCGGCTTGGTCGAAAGTCTGAAACATGAGGATAAGGCGAACTTCCTTGCCTTATATCATGCCCTTTTGGACCTTCAGGATTCCCATGATCTGGCCATGCGCCGCCACTTCCACCGGCAGGACCCATTGGACGACTGGTCTTCTGTGCAGGAACCTGCTGTGGAACGTTCCCCGGATTTTTTCCTTCAGCTCAGCCCTCAGTCAGGGTCCGATCTTCTTGGGATTTTGCAGTTGGTCCGGACCAACCCTCAGTTCCTGTGTGAGAGACTGTGCAGCTTGACGTCCGCACAGCTGAATGCCTTGTTATCTTCATCGGCCACATCTCTGGACTCTGGTGATTACACATTCCTTTCTGCGTCCCGTTCACGGAGCCAGTATTCTCTGCCTAAACGCACTTCTGCTGCATCCGTTCCTTTCCGAGATCATGCTGTCAATTTTGAGAGAACGGACGCTCTTTCCAACTTGGTCTTCAACGTTTTTGCTGCCCCCTTGGACTCTGATGCTCCAGAGGCTCGCTTGCGTTTGGACGTTTGGTCTTCTGTTTGCGCTGAACTTCTCACCCAAGGAGGCAATAGGTTCTATCCCCTCATTGGCCACATACTCTCATCCTGGACCATGGGCAGCGCCTGGAAAGCCAGGCCAAAGTTCGAGCTCTACCTCATGGACATCCTCCAGACCGGCGCGTTCCTCCTGGAGCATATAGAAACCCCAGCCGGACTGGGCTTTGATGCGGGGTCCCTTGACCCGTTGAAAACTGACGTTGCCGAGGAATATTTCGCCTCTGCTGTAGATGCACTATTCAACCTCCTTGATGACCCAGACGCAGGCTTTCCTCATGCAGTGTTTCTGTTCGCCCGCGCCATCTTACAGAAACTGGATCATCCGGACTGTCGTGCTCGTTTTCTAGAGTATTTGTTTCTCCAGTGGTTCTTCCCTAAATTTCTCTCTGGGGCTCTTGCTTATCCTGAGGTCTGTTTCAGTCTGTCTAGCCTTATTATTCATGGGCTCCGAGAGAACTGATCTTCCCCTTTCTTTTTTTTTTTTTTAGACCCACGGCCTTCTTCTCGATTTCCATATCAGGAAAGATGCTAGAGAAAAGCTCCTTGGACAGGTTGCCCTTAGGGCGTATTCGCAGGTCTTTGCTATATTACGCTCAATGTAAGTCCTACTACCATTTCTAAACTTTTCTATGAGAGAATTGTCCTGATCTATTGGTCTTCTGCGACAGGAATCACTTTTCAATGACTCGTCCAGCGGTCCGGCAACATGTTGAGAACATGCTTCGTCAGTTCGAGACAACGGACCCCGACAACAAGCAATTTGCCCAGCCTTCAGCACCCAGAAGTCATCAAGAATCACCGTGCGCTTTTCTCATGCTATCTGCTGCTGACGTGCTAACCCTACTGGGCGCCCTGTTTCCCACGGCATCATCTCCCACCTGTAGCTCTCCCACACCCTCCTCCGGATTATCTACGTTGTCTCCCAGCTCCTTGCATTATTATCCTGAAAGACGTACTACCGCCGTCCCAGAGCCAGGGTTCTACCGGCGTAATCTGAATGGTGGCTTTTCTCGGCAGTTTTCCTCAAACAAGGCATTCTCCTCCGCGGACATGGATTTTTTTACGTGCTCAGAAAACCGTCTGAGTCGCAACGCTGATCGTATCCGCTTTGAATTATCTGCTTTGGTCGAGCCTGATGGTCGTTCCGGTCTCGAGTACCCCTCCACGGAAGAATGGGCCATCTTCTCTGTCACCCAAGGCGGTCATCGCCTAGTCTGGGGCTTGTTCTCTGAGGGCCAGCTCAGCGATACAGGGAACCTGTCCGTTGATGCCTGTCAGTCCACCACTTTGGGCATGGAGGACAACTTTGAGGCTCTTCACACAGCGATCATCAAGCTCGTCCGGGAAAACCCTGCTGGAGATCCCTCAGACTACTGCGTGGAGCGCGAGCAAATGGCCCCATCAGAATCCTCTTCGCTGAAGAAAAGATTCAATGAGGCCATGTCACACTGCCATCACACTTCTGATTTTATTGGTGCCCATTATTGGTGGAACGCTAGTCGCCAGCTTCTTCGCAGTGTCGCCGGCTTACCCTCTCGCCTTGGCGATGACTCTTGGATCCTGGAACCTATGCACACAACGTGTTCACGCTCGCTCCAGGTAGCTCACTCCGTGATCGAGCGCTGCGAAACCGACTTTGTGGCACTCGATCGCAGTTTGCGGCAACTACAGGGAACTGTGAAAGAGACGATCAAAACAATTACGAAGTTGCGGAACAAGATGTGGTACATGACCGACGTCAAGAACTCGATGCGGTACGAGGACGCAAGGAATGTGGCACTGGCACTGAAGACGATGGTCTACTCCGCTCGTCTTTATCAGCCCATCCCTACCAACGAGCGTCGAACGCGCAGCAGCTCTCGCACATCGGGAGGATCCGTTCTGCAAAAGCCAGAGTTGCAGGTCATGAACGTCATGAAAGCGCCAAGCAGCCAAGGCGGCCCGAATAAGCTGTCTGATGAGCAGGTCGAGTTGACACGGAAATGGCTGGCACAGAACAATATCGACAATTTTTGCAAGGGTGAAGAGCGGATCCACCGCTTCTGCTACGAAGTCAAAGTTAGTATCAACCGACTTGTCGGAGATACAATGGCCGAAGCCCCTGTCCTCTGGGCCAGCGAATTGTTCCAAAAGGAGCGAGTCAAGTTCGAAGGGTCCAGCAACCGAAGCTTCCTTGGCCTTTCCTCGTCGAGTTTGCGCCCAGTGAGCACTACTTGTGAAGAGCCGTCATTTCCTTCCCAATCCTATGGCGGCAGTCTCCGCTCGTCCGATTCCCTTTGCAGGTACACTCAAGACCTGCCGCCGCTGAATCGCAAATCGTCCTTCCAAAGCTCGATTTCTGGTAAGTGGAGGATTCCCCGAGAACCCTCCGCCGCTGACGGGCTTTCGATTGGAGACTCGCCTTCCAAGGCAGCCTCCACATCAACGGGTGACACATACAGTACGTTTTGGTCTGTACCACACCAGAATGCGCCCTATGCGGCAAGTGCGTCGAGTTTCTACTCCCGTCCACCGTCGATGCTGAGTGAGGGCGTTGCTCAGCCGGCTCGCCAGAAGGATTGTAAGGGTCAAGGCAAAGTCACTTTCCTGGATGAATTAAAACAGGCCTTGACCAGTTTACTTCTGAGTGATCTGGGTTCACCCGTCTGGAGCTGTGGGAGCGAAACAGATGCCTGGTTTGGAAACGCCTTGGACCAAGAGCGAATCCGTGTACAAATGAAGAAGCGGGAGAAGATCCAGCGCTTCTACGCAGAGTGCAATGCACGCACAGTCCGCCAAACAATCAGCTGCTCCCAATCCAGAGGCCGAAGAAGCAGGTCGCTGGGGCCTCCCGTGTCTGGCCGGGCTCCAGAGTCTGACGAAACGTCCTCAGGGCCCATGTTCGAGAGTGCTCAAGCGGCTGAAGATCAATCTCCATTTTCGTACGGAGCTGTTTTCCGACAATTGATCGAGATCTTTTCGCGCCACGGGAACCCATTCGTCAAGCTAAACGCATTGCGGGATTTGAGAGCATTGGTCATTGCGTCCTTGAACTTGGATAATGATGACAAGACCTATGCGCATGCTGATCAGGAACATGCGCACTCGAGGGAACGCGGGCTCCATGGCAAACGAGCTGCTCGGTATAGCTTCTCAGAATCACGAACCCTCCGTAAAGCCGAGAAGGACTTCCTGCAAACTCCGACGTCTCCAGCGGCCGAATCTGTCACTTTTGACTCTCGACCTTCGGAATACTCCGCACCTACGGAGAACCAGATTGTGGATGCGCTGCGTAGCCTTCTCTTAGAAGTGAAGCCCAAGACTCTTTTCCGCGATCTCCAATTTATTTCAGCTTTCGTTCCCAGCGAGACACTAAACAAGACCGACAGTGGAACCGCATTCTTGCAGTTTGGCTTGGCAGCGTTAAGTCTCAAGGAAGAGGTCTGCAACAGCATGGTCGAGATCGCCGACAGGATTGTCTCTCAGGAACTGAGCCGACGCCATCAGCCTCCACCCTTCGGCTTCGACGCCAGACCGAGCCACGCTATTGAGGATGCCGCCGGGATGTGGATCATCACTGCAAAAGAAGGAAATCCTGTCGCCCAGCGGGAGCTGGCGATTCTCTATTTAACCCATCCGGAGCTTCTCCCTCGTGTCACGCTGCCACTTACTTCTCCCAGAGATACATTCAAGGCTGAGATGATGTACCGCCGTGACAAGGACAGCAAATCCGATCCGCAGAGCATGTGTCTGGCGCTGCACTGGATGCAGTTGTCAGCCAACGGAGGCGACCAACTTGCGCGGAACAGGCTTCGCGAACGCGAGGAGTTTGATTCCATCGCTTGATTTATGCATTAATACCCGTGTTGTTTCTTGATTGAACTCGGGCGCTATCATTTCTTTTATATCCTTCGGCTTATATCCTTTGGCACTCTTTTCTTTTTTTACTTTCGATACCACGCTATGGTTGTTGTTATACCCTGGGCCTAATATCTTCTTACCATTTCCACACTGGGACTTTTACTTCTGGCTAATTTTTAGTGCAGATACTGCGCTTTCATTTCTTGCGAGCTTAGAGCATCTCGGCCGCCCTGCATTTCTACCTTGTAGTTGTATTCTTCTAGCGTGTCAGGCTGGGACACTCATTCTAGGACGCTTGGGCAAGAGGACTTGGTTCTACTCGTTTTTTTTCCCCTGGTCCTCAACGTCTCGTTCACGACCTTTGTGTTGAGGGTGGCAATCTGCATACTCGCTTGGCACTATACCACATCACTTTTCTCATGGGCTTAATGCTTGGAGTTGAACACCGTGGATTGGATTCGAAAGACATAGGTTTGGCGGCATATTTGTTCTGGAGGCTGGTACTTGACGATCATGACAGGCGAATATACAGAAGTACCTGAACTCGTTAAGGCTTGTTCATCAAACATGTCGATAGACGAGGATATGATTCTCAGCAAGTTGCAACCAAGTAGATAGTAGACAGAGCATATGACCTCAAGGTAGCATTGATGATACTATTACCTTACCGTCTTGATGCATTCGCCCGTCGACGTCATCCGCTTGGTTGCCCCCACGTGCCTCACCTACTTCTGTATCATGTATGTTAATGTACCTCTCTAGCCTCCATCTAATAATTCAACAAAAGAACAGACAACTTCAGCCCATCTTTCTTGTATGTCTCACTCATCTTCTTCTGTATTACACTCAGTGAGCACAGATTCAAACTGGTATTTGCACGTCGCACGGTCGTCTCCAAGAGCCTCGAAGTCTCGCACCGACCGTACTCGACTCTTAGGTGACTTAGGTCACTCGGGAGGCTGAGAAGACCCCGCTAGAAACCCAAAATAACCATCATCCTCTGTCCTCAGCATCATTCCGTTTGGGTGTCACTCAGCTCTGGCTGGTGGTTGATCTTGGGCTGAAATCGCAGCTGACACTATCTATCGTTGTCTGACTTGGAAAGCGTCGATACTTATTGTTTCGTTTCCGTTCCTTTTTCTTTCTTTTTTTTTTTTCAACCACTGTCTTTTGACTTCAACTCTTAGTTTCACCTCTTGTTCTATTTGTTTGGTCTTCCCCGCTACTCTTTTCTTCTTCACCTTGGCGTGGTCTCTACATAAATGATGACCATGGCGCATAACCATGAGGATGTGCCTAAGCGCCCCAAGGGTAAGCTCTACTTACTTCGTTTAAATGACGTTGAGCGTCGTTGACTCGATCCCTACAACCAGGCATCCTTAAAAACTCCAGCGGAGATGTCCCTCAAACAACTCACTCGACAGAGAATTTCGTCATTACCCCAGCACCCATGGACAACGTCGATACGAAGGAAATTACCCTGCAAAACACACTTCAGAATGCTGGTCGCCGCCGATCGTCATCCAATATGCGCCCTGGGTCGTCCTCTCGACGACAATCTTTGGCAAGCGTCCACGGCCACAACGACGAGAACTCTCCGCGTTTGAAGTGGGACGAAGCGAACCTCTACCTGACGGAGCAGGAGAAAACAGCCAAGATGAAGATCGACGAGCCCAAGACCCCGTTCGCCCCGCACTACGATCCCGCCGAGGACGAAGAGGAACTGCGACTCGCAGAAGCAGAGGAGAGCCTGATCGACGCGCAGGATGTGGTGGTCGACGAACTGGACAGGACAAAGAAGGGGCCTCGAAAGGGGATCTCCGTGGACGATATTCCCGAACTGGAGCTCGGAGAGCCTGAAGAGTCATCGTACACTGTGGGCAGCGGAGAGGGGAATCGGATCATCCGCCAGCGCAGCCTGAGCAACGAGTCGCACCGCAGCGACAAGCATGTCGTTGTCGGGACGGGAGAGGAGAACGGTGCCAGTGCGGATGGGGATCATCTCATGACGACCGAAGAGGCCAAAGAGAAGCATCGCCAGTTTGAGCAGATGCGCAAGAAGCATTATGAGATGAGGAATATCAAGGAACTTCTTGCGTGAGTGGCCGTCTTTCTTGTGATGGTGTCGGCGCGCGTACTGACTCTGGCTGTTTCTTAAGACATCCCGAAAATCTGGACGAGATGGAAGAAGACGACGGCGGCGACGACGACGACGAAGAGGAAAATTCTGGCTCAGTAAATCCACCACCGATGCCCAGGATTCCAGAGAAGTTCTCAATTGGCGGTTCTCAATAAGATAAGGCCAACCTGAGACCTTGGATTCCCGCCTTCGATGCATACTGCAAGTGTGTTTGTGCCTTATTTCTGTCAGTGTATATTCCCCAGCGATTGCATTTTTCTACGGTTGTGAAGAGTACATAGGGGTGCTTGGGGCTTGAACTTTCCACCCAGCTCATTTTCTCTTCAGTTTTTGATCAGGAAACCCACCATCCCTGTCGGATTTTCTCTCTTGAATCATGATAGACGATCTGTATGCGAAATTGTATGTAGATTGAGGTAAATAGGACTCGGTCCAAGAAATGGATTGCCACTTGTTTTAGTCTCTCTGGTCTTAGGTAACTTGAGTTTCGAGTTATCAAGTCAGGGGTCATACGGTGCTACTCCATGGTTATTGATTGGGGAATATCCTTTTCATGAGGATGATTATTGTCTTTACCTGTGACAACCATAATCTCTTGCCTTGATCAGGTGGAGTCGGTTGAATTGTCTCTGGGTCCAATTTCCTTAGATACTCCGTAGATAGATAATCTCCCGTCCAGACAGACTATTGAGGCGCTTTGAGCAAGTCATAGATAGATAAACCGTGTCTCAGCTTCTCCTTTCCTTGAAGGTGATCCATAACCCTATCTACATTTATCAAAATGATAACCTGCAGAGAAGGTGGGCTCAGCTCATCCAAATCGGCCTATCCATAGACTAGATAAACAGGACTTGAGTTGTAAAACATCTTCGATGATACTGCAATTAGCTACCCAAGGGCCAAATGAAGGATTGTATTGAAGTTCGTGCAATTTTCTTGTTTGAAACTGATGATCAATTATCTATCCATCTAGCCATATCATCAGCAAAAAAGTGATGAAACAAAAAGATGATGACTGGTGTGCTCATGTATGTTGACTCGTCAATTGGGTTGTGTTTGTTGCCTTGAAAAGGGGGTTACTTCGTCAAAGTATACTCTGGTGAGCTTGATAAAAATAGAACCTACCAAGTAGAAGTAGAGAGATAGTACTCGGATAGGAGAACTAATTATTCAGGGGATACGGCATCATCCTTTTCATTTTTATTAGTACTAGTAGTATCTAGAAGGACATTAGGTGGAAGCCAGCAGGGAGTATCTAGTCTATCTATATTTACCTTAGCATCTCGTGACGGTGCATGTGATTTCTGCTGTTTGTCTTCCTGCATCAATCTTCCGATTTCTCTGTTCTTCTCTCCAGTTCATCGGTTCATCCGCTCGAAAGGCTCTCTCTTGAGCAAGCCGTTCAACTAATAGTCATTACATATTTTCTGGTTTTCCTATTGCTTTCATCACTCTCACCATGGCCGACCAACAGCCCGAAAAGACTACTGCTCCTGCTGCTGATGCCCCAGACTCGCAGCCTACCGTCATTACCAACACCGACACTCCCAAGGAGACGACCGAAACCACAACCGCGCAGCCTGCCGTTGAAACCCCCGTCGCTGAACCCACCACCGCAGAGACTCCCGCTGAGGCCGACAAGGCTCCCGCCGAAGGGCAGCAGCCGCCCCAGGCCGAAGAAGAGAAACCCGTCGCTGAGCAGCCGGAACAGCCAGCCTATCTTGCCAAAAATCCTGCCCTCGCTCAGTTCTTCGAGCGTCTCCCTGCCATTCTCTCCAGCACCGGCCATGCGGAGATGTGGGGGGTCCCGCTCAAGGACTCGGACGATGCTCCCACCGTCAACGTTCTGATCAAGTTCCTGCGCGCGAACGAGGGCAATGTCAAGCTGGCTGAGGAGCAGCTGACCAAGGCCTTGAAGTGGCGGAAGGAGATGGACCCCTCGGCGCTCGCTGAGTCGACCAACTACAGCGCGGCCAAGTTTGGTGGACTGGGTTATTTGACCGTCTACAAGGAGGCTAATGGTGCGGAGACTGTTGTCACCTGGAATATCTACGGTGGTGTGAAGGATATCAACAGCACTTTCGGTGACATGGATGAGTGAGTACATCTGCCAAAGGGAAACCTAATGTCCCACAGGTTCTAACCGTTCTCTTACGCTTGTAGGTTCGTCAAGTGGCGTGTTGCGCTTATGGAGCTGGCAGTCAAGGAGCTGAAGATGGCAGAGGCCACCTCCGTGATTGACTACGATGGCGAGGACCCCTATCAGATGATCCAAGTTCATGACTATCTGAACGTGAGCTTCCTGCGCCTGAATCCCACCATCAGAGCCGCCACCAAGAAGACCATTGAAGTCTTCACCACAGCTTACCCCGAGCTTCTCCGCGAGAAGTTCTTCGTCAATGTCCCTGCCATCATGGGCTGGATGTTTGCCGCCATGAAGGTCTTCCTGAGCAAGAACACCACTCGCAAATTCCACCCCATTTCCAACGGCGCCAATCTGGCTCGCGAGTTCCCTTCTCTGAAGGAGCAATTCCCCAAGGTCTACGGTGGAAGCGCCCCTGCTCTTCAGGAGGGAGCGAGAACCGTCAACCTTATCCAGGAGGAGCCTGCCCCCGCTGCCCCCGCTGCCACCGAGGCTGCGACAAATGAGGAGCCAAAGGAGCAGAGCAAGGGGGAGGTCGCTCAGGAGGAATCCCGGGCTGACTCTGCTCCAGAGCAGCCAAAGACTGACACTGCTGTCACGGCCCAGGAAGCCCCTGCTGCCGAGGCTAAGTGAACGTGATAAAGGCCGTCACACGTTCGGATTTGACATATTGAAAGGGATGGAACAGGAGAAACAGGCATGATACCCGGGATGATAGGCAGACTGCTTTGTTCTTCGTTTTTGTGTGTTCACATTTGATACCTCAGAATTGCTACGTCATTTTGCGAAAGGAGAAGATGAAACTTAACTAGATCATATTATATACTTAATTAATAATAATAATAATAGAAGTCCACTCTGAATGATCTTTTGTGCGCCCATAGTTGTAATCCATTCTCATCTTTGGTTGGATCATTATCACATGGAGAGAGGCAGTAGCTGGTATATGGAAGACCAAAAGTACCAAAACCGCAGTTTCGGACCTCCCGCACTCCGCAACACTTTCGGTGTTCGCAAGAGCTGTTCGGGTCGATCTACGCCCTCATCTTCCTCTACGATTGATCGCCTTGATCCGACTTGTCTTGAACTGTCAGAATGCGGCTTGTCCTTTTTGAAGCGTCCTGCATGTTTCAATAAATCAGTCTTTCTTCCTTCGAAACTCGCGAATACGAATATTTTCATCCAGTTCATTGTCACCCACCCTTGCTCTCCACGAGCTTGCCCTCACGCACACCTCACCCGAATCCCCAAAGTGAAGAAAGCAAGCTTCACCATGTCAGTTTGGAACCCGGATAACATCCGCGACGTCGCCGAGTCCGTCGGCATCGTCAATCTCAGCAACGAGGTGACCGAAAACCTCGCGCGCGACGTCGAATACCGCATCGCACAAGTCCTCGAAGAGGCTCTCAAGTTCATGCGACACAGTCGCCGGACGCTGCTCACCACACAGGATATTGCGCAGGCCCTGCGGGTTCTGGACGTGGAGCCGCTGTACGGATATGAGACCACACGGCCGTTGCGGTTCGGGGAGGCGTCGCTGGGGCCCGGGCAGCCGTTATTCTACGTCGAGGACGAGGAGGTGGATTTTGAGAAATTGATCAATGCGCCGTTGCCCAAGGTGCCGAGGGAGATTTCTTTTACTGGTGGGGTTTCCTCTGTCGATTTGGAGCCGTCTGGTGAATTAGGCCTGTGTTTATGCTAACTGGTATACCGTACAGCTCATTGGTTGGCCGTTGAAGGTGTGCAGCCGTCCATCCCGCAGAATCCTACCGCAGCCGACTCGAGAAACCTCGAATTGACCGCCAAGGGTCCCAATGCCAACTCGACGTTGGCGGCGATGAGCGGCACCGGGAACGTGGCTGTCAAACCGCTGGTCAAGCATGTGCTGTCCAAGGAACTTCAGCTCTACTTTGAGAAAGTCTGCAACGCTTTCCTGGACGAGTCTAGTGAGGAGTACCGGACATCGGGCTATGCCAGTCTGCGCGAGGATCCGGGACTGCATCAGCTCGTGCCGTACTTTGTACAGTTCATTTCAGAAAAGGTGACACACGGGCTCAAGGATATTTTTGTGCTGACACAGGTCATGCACATGGCAGAGGCCCTGGTGCAGAACAAGTCGCTTTATGTGGATCCTTATGTACGCTTACTCTCTGGAAGTGTCTTTGATGGAAATGTCTGCTAACTCGGACCAGATTGCATCTCTTGTTCCTCCCATTCTGACCTGCCTGATCGGCAGACAGCTGGGTGGCAATGCAGATTTATCGGAACAGTTTGCTCTGCGCGACCTGGCCGCTTCGCTCCTCGGCCTCATCTCCAAGAAATACTCTCACTCATCGCATACACTTACACCTCGACTCGCCCGCTCCTGTCTCAAGACTTTCCTTGATCCGTCAAAACCTTTTGGAGCGCATTATGGAGCTATTATTGGCTTGAATGCTGTCGGTGGCACCGAAACTGTTCGAGTCTTGATACTTCCCAATCTATCAACATATGCCAGCCTTCTGGCGGACGGCATGGCAGAAGACAACCCTCGACGACCGGAGGCTGAAAAGGTGCTGGGCGCACTGTTGGCCGTCCTCTCCACCTTACGGGAGGGCCGTCAAAATCTGGCCAATGGACACGGTGCCATTGTGACCGACGAGCTCCGCGAGCGACTCAACGCCAAAGTGGGGGAGATCATCGCAGGCAGGATCGCGGATGCGGGAGAGGTGCGGATGGCCTATGCTATTCTCGAAGCTTGAGGCATTTGCCAGTTCCTCGTGTGTGTCTGCCTTTCCCCTCTTGTCCATCTGTTTTCTTTTGAGTCATTAAAATTACAACTGTGCCTTGCATCTTGGCGGCGGGAAGGGTTTCATTGGGGCTTTGGCGTTTGCGTGGCGTATGAAGTGGGAAACATCTATGGTCGTTCCTATTCCTCGCTTGATCTCCCTGAATTGAAAACAGACAATTCGTTATAATTGTCTACAGCTTTATCTATTTGTTTTTATTGTCCATCAAAGACACCTAAGAAATCATCGATCAGACTGGCGACGTCATCACCAGGCAGCTGGCCCTTCACCGCCTACCATAAACAGCATAGAACCCCGTGTGTCGCGCGACAGTCAGTGGAGTGCCTCAGGCCTTACTCTGGCTGCCCAATTTGTAGGGAGGAAAAATCCGGCGGCTTCAAGTTCCAAAGGACTAGTATCTACGAAATCTACGGAGTACCCTGCAGAATCCATTCTATCACTGCAATATATTCAAGAGGTCCAGGCTCTGAGTCGCAAAGAAACAATCTAAAATCCTTCAGGCTTCCTTGATTGACGACCGGGACTGTTCTTCTTCCAGCCCAATCTTAGCGTCTGGTGCGCCCCACGAAACTACTTTTTTTTTCTTCCTTCTCGTTCTCCCACTCTTTTTCGCTCTGCCCACAGACCGCTATAAATAATCACCACTGTCAACCTCCAACGTCTGCCTACTCTGCCCGGCAATAAACAATCTCATCAATTGTATATCACTGGCCTTGTGAGCAACCTGTACCCCCGCGTTCTAGTTCCGGTTATTTCTCTTCCTTTGACATCCTCTAATTTTCTGTCATAAAAAAAGGCGACACCATCCTCGGATCTTGCAGTCTATCTTTGCTCTCGCAGATGTCCAGAGCTGTGGCCTCGCGCTACGTCGTGCTGTTTTGAGCTCGATTTGACCTTGCCTTCCATGAACCCAAAGGACTTGCTGCGATTCTTGTCTAAGCCAGCAAAGTAAGCCTGATCTCCTTACGTGCCATCTTCATATGCGCTCGGCGCCACCGATCGCATCGTGACAATGACCCCCTCATCGAGCACACAGTGAGCTGAACTGACTCAATTGCTCCTCCAGGCCTCGATAACACGACTCAATTCCAGAGTCATTTTCTTCCAACATTCCAATTCTCTTCTCGTTTCTTTCCAAAAAAAAGCAGATACTCTCGTCTGCTAGACCCGATACTTTGACCGGTATCGGTATCTTCCAGTACGAGGGTGCTCGCCATATAGTCGCAATTCCTTTTTCAAGAGGCTTTTTCCTCCTCTCCCTGTCCTTTCGCCCTCCCTAGCACCCCCTTCGGGCTCGTGCTGAATTTCGTCCCTCTGGCCTGTGTGCCATTCTCTTTATCGCGATAAAGGGCCTTCTCTCTCAGGCGGACATAGCCCCCCCTGTTCGTCTGGGCAGCAGATAGTGCTTCCTAGGCTTCTGTGTCTACGGTCAACTACATATACTCAACGGCGTTGCTCCTCGTTTCAATAATCGGTCTCGCAACAGCATCCGTCGCACGGTTCATTTCGTCAATCAGCGGAAATGGTCTACATCGGAATTCCCAAGAATTACACGGCTTCGCCGTCTTCCTTTGCAGGAACTCCGTCCTTGACGATCAATTACGAGGCAACACAGGATCTTGATTCTACCAATGCTTTTGAAGGTACGTCTACCGCCGGTGACGTTGTGTATGAAAGCAGTATTGGGCAGAGGCTGACAGCCCACAGGTCCAGAGAAACTCTTGGAGGTGTGGTTCGCGCCTTCCGCTCAGGAATTAGGTCCGGCGCAGCCTGCGGGTCTGAAAGCTGTGCCTGAGGAGATCTGGAAGGACATGCTGGATCTCGTCAATTGTCAGGTCCTTTCCATTGTCTCGTCGGAGGATGTGGACGCCTATCTGCTCTCCGAATCCAGCATGTTCGTCTGGCCTCACAAGCTCATCCTGAAGACATGTGGAACCACCACTCTTCTGTCCGGTCTGCCACGCATTCTCGAGATTGCCGCTTTGTTTGGTGGCTTCCCCAAGTCTCCTTCTCGCGGAATCTCCGTCGCCGCCGCGCCCTACCGCGTGTTCTACAGTCGTAAGAACTTCCTGTTCCCTGACCGCCAGCGCGGCCCTCACCGCAGCTGGCGGGACGAAGTGCGGACTATGGACAGGCTCTTCCTCAACGGCAGCGCCTACATGATTGGCAAGATGAACGGCGAGCATTGGTACCTGTACCTGACTGAACCTCATACCATGCTCACACCGCCAACGAGCCCGGGAGCGAAGACCGAGTTCACGGAAACAGAGACTAAGGTCCTCAGCGTACCTCAGGGCGCTGCTCTGCAGGTTGATTCTGAGGATGAGACTTTGGAAGTCTTGATGACCGACCTGGACGAGAAGAACGCCAAGCAGTTCTACCTCGAGCATGCCACCGCTGTTGCGGAGACCCGTTATCGCAACTTCGATGCGGACAAGAGTGACCATGTAGATGTGTTCAGCAACACTTCCTCCGATATGAGCGACCTGGACTCCGAAGGAAGCGGGGTTCTGCCTCCGGAGTTGACTACGGAGGGCCACGCGCTCGGGACCGTCGTTTCTGAAGCCTGCGGACTTTCCGACGTGTATCCTAAGGAGAAGTATCCCGAATCGCGCATCGATGCCTACCTGTTCACGCCATGTGGCTTCTCCGCCAACGGCGTGATTCCGCCGCCTGATGGAAAGACTGGAACCCACTACTTCACGGTGCACGTCACTCCAGAGCCGCATTGCTCGTATGCATCCTTTGAGACCAACGTGCCGCACTCGCAGAACGGCCAGACTACTGCTGGAATCATCAAGCAAGTGGTCGACATCTTCAAGCCTGGCCGCTTCAGCGTGACTCTCTTCGAGGCCAAGCCAGCGCTGAGCCAGGTCGAAGACGAGTGGAAGGAAGCCAAGTATCTCGCCGCTCGTCGGACTGCCAAAATGGAGCATGTGGAGGGATATCGCCGGGTGGACCGGATCGTGCATGACCTCGACGGCTATGAGCTTGTGTTCCGCTATTATGAACGCCTGGACTGGAAAGGGGGGGCCCCTCGGCTGGGAGAGGAGAAGTTTTGAAAGAACAAGCCATAGCACGTCGAGATATCTTTTCTTGAGGGATTTGGTCGGACATTCTTTTGAGATGGAAACAGTCCCATTCTACTTGTTTATTTTTCTTCTGCGCAATTTTCGTTGGACAGCCTTTGCTTCCCTCATTTGAGCTTGCAGATAATTCTTCGAGAATTTGAGCGTTCATGTCGTGTACAAAGCACCTTGACTCTGATGTGCTCCGTACTGTCCTTACTGTTATGATTTTGGCTTTAAGCCACTCAAGCGTTTGCAATGAACTGATTATATTACGTATACATATTCTCTTTTTTATTGCTTTCTATCATGTATACCCGAATTCAAAAAAGTAAACTGGCAGTAAATTGTTGAAGATGTGGATCAATTTGATGGCCAGGCTTGGGCTCTTGCGCCAACTGGCATCAATTGACGGACGGGATCGGCAGACCTGCCAGATCGGTCCGGACTTTCTTTCTGCTTGTGATCACATCGCCAACTCCCAGCATCCCTTCAAATTCGTCGACTCGCTGCGCCAAAGCTTGACTGCGGATTTCAAATAATTCATTAAAAAAAAAAGATTAGACATCGGCTTTTCTCTTTGCGTTTTACCTCGGTCAAGTCTGTGGAAGAAGCAGGAACAACACAGCCAGCCAGACGGCCGACTGATAGCAAAGCAACAAGCAACCTCCGTCAAGGCGAGCATCAAAAACCAAGCATCCAAAAGCCCCTACAGGAGCTCGCATACTTGACTCTGTTATCTACTCTCGCGTACATCATATCTCACAATGTCATCACCGCCACCTCACCCAACCCCGACAAATCCGCTTAAACGGCCCTCCATCTCCTCCTCCGTCTCACAGCCTCTCGGCTCCAACCCGAAACGTCCACGCATGCACCCCCTCCGGCAGACCTCCTTTCCCACCACCATAGACAATGATCAGCGTGCATTCAGCGCCACTAGCGACGCCGGGAGTGTGACGGGCAGTTTCACAGGTAGTCTGGGCGGGACGAGCGCGGACGGGGTGTTCCTGGGGGCGGCGAAGAAGGGGAAACGCGGGCGCAAGAGTAAAGCCGAGAAGGAGCGGGAGCGAGAGCAGCGGGAGGATGCGGCGAGTCTGCGCGGGGCGGAGACGCGACTGGGGTCTGTGGATGCGGATGGGATGTCGATCCGGGCTGGTGGGACGGCGAGGGG